GATATAGATATAGATATAGATATAGATATATATATATATATATATATATATATATATATATATATATATATCTTGTGTGTGTGTGGGGGGGGGGGGTGGGTGTGGGTGTGGGTGTGGGTGTGGGTGTGGGTGTGGGTGTGGGTGTGGGTGTGGGTGTGGGTGTGGGTGTGGGTGTGGGTGTGTGGGTGTGTGGGTGTGGGTGTGTGTGTGTGTGTGGGGGGGGGGGGGTGTGTGTGTGTGTGTGTGTGTGTGGGTGTGTGTGTGTGTGTGTGTGTGTGTGTGGTGTGTGTGTGTGTGTGTGTGTGTGTGTGTGGTGTGTGTGTGTGTGTGTGTGTGTGTGTGTGTGTGTGTGTGTGTGTGTGTGTGTGTGTGTGTGTGTGAGTTAGGTTAGCCGACTGGACGATGTAATCAGCCGATGGCTGGTGACTAATGCAGAATTTTTCCCCTGGTATAAAGGAGTGCAACATATCCTAGCATTCAAGATATGTTAAGAGCGTAATGCATTAGCATAAGTGTCACACACTGGAAAGTCAAGGTAAGTGACACGTACGACGTCAGCGGCATATAAAATTACGCTTGACAGTTGCGCGTAAAAATTCATCGACGTATATTCAACCGCTGCTCTTAGGCGAGGGCACCAAGGCCAATAGGGACGGAACCTGAGCGATCATGGGTGCCGCAGGAGGCCAACAAAGTGACTCTCGTCAACGACAACAGTGTCCTCAGAGCAAGCAAAAGGAAAAACACGTAAGACCGAGGTGGTGGGCCGCTAACTGATCGGTAGTGCCCCGGTAAGCTGACATATAAGGCCCCGGTCAGAGCACAGGACTCTCCAAGCAAAGACGAATTATCCAAGACTGTCAGTTAAAACTCTTGTGCGATCAAGAGTGCACGTGCAGGGCAACAGAAAGAGCCTCGATAGGAGTGAAGAATCCTCCGCAAATGAGACCGAAGGGAGAGAATCCTCGATCAAAAAAAGAAGGCCCCTGGGCATCGAGTGCCTCCGTGCCTTACTTTATAAAAGCCCTAGCAACAGCACAGGGCTCTCTAAGCAAGTGAAAACCCCGAGACTCGTATGAAGGGCCCCTGAGCAAGTGAGTGTACCCTGGCATATGGGACCCCGGAAAAAGTGTATAGAGCCTTTCGGGCGAATGGGAAGAATCCGTGGGGGAAAACCTGATCGATCAACAGTGCTCGGGCATGGAGGCAGATAGAGCCCCAACAGCACATTGGGCCCTACGAGGAAATGCAAAGAGATCAAGAGACACTTAAAAAGCTCCTTAGCGATCAGTTTGACTCGGCAAGTGGACATATAAGGCCGAGGTAACCAACAGCGTAATGCCTTTAGGCAGCGCAATGAGTGACCAAAATTTCCCCCAGCAACACTTCATCAATCAGCGAGGAATTCATTTCGTCTGCTAATGAACTCTTTACTTTTGCTAACCATTGTTCTTGGTTGTCTTTAGACCTAAAGGCATCCAGTTTTGTTGTGTTTTGGTTGTAAGAAAACTGTGTCCGTCCGGCCAGTTATGCCCCCCCCCCCGGATCCTTTAGGTCCCCTCGGCTGCTTTATGGGGCATGGTCACGTGCCTCCCCCCCCCCCCCTTACCCTCTGCATCCGCCACCGGCCCGAGCAGTTGAATAGATGGGGTCCGCCAAGAACACAGGCCGTCCATTCAAATAAGAAATACTAAAGACAGAATGTGTAGGGCTCGGAACGATCGAGTGCGCCCAAGCAGGTTAACATATAGAGCCCCTGTCACGAGCGTAGGGCCCTCCATTCAAATAGGAAGTACTCAAGACCCAATGTAGAGGACCCTCGAATGATCGAGGCTGTCCGAACAGGTCAACAAAAAGGGCTCCCAACAAGAGCGTGTGGCCCTCCATTCAAATGGGAAGCATCGAAGAAGAAGAAGGGAAGCCTGAGAAACTTGTCAAAGGAAGACCATTTGGACCTTTCATTCAAATTAGAAGTACCAAAACCCAGTGCGGAGGGCCCCTAAAAGATGGAGTATACCCGAGCAGATTATCAGGTGGCCCAGACAGGAGCGTAGGGCCCTAAATTCAAACACCAAAACCCAATAACTAGGCCCCGGACCCCGAAGCGGCGATCGTATGGGATCCCCGACAAGTGCGTAAGGCCCTCCATTCAGATAGGAAGTACCCAGGACACCATGTGGAGGCCTCCCGGATATTCGAGTGTGCCCGAGCAGATTAACGGATGGGGCCCCGTCAAGAGCGCAGGGCCTTCCGCTCAAACAGGAAATAAACACGGCACGATGTAGAGGACCCGAATAATCGAGTCCGCCAGAGCAGGTTAACGGCCCGGCCCCGAAAAGAGTGGAGGACCCTCCATTCAAAAAGGAAGTACCCAAAACCAGATGAAGAGTTCTACTATGATTGAACGGGTCAGAGCATCTTATCACAAGGGGCCCCGACCGGAGCGTAAGCCCCTCCATTTAAATAAGAAGTGCGTAAAACCCGGTGCGGAAGGCCCGGAAAGATGGAGTGTGCCCGAACAGGTTATCAGATGGTCCCGTTAGGACCAGAGGGCCATAAATTCAAACACCAAGGACCAATGTGCAACCCCACCCCTCCCCACCCCTAAACAATCCAGTGTGGCCGAGGAGGCGAACAGAGGGGGCCTCCGACAAGTACGCAGCGTACGATTCAAATAGCACGTGCCCAAGGCCCAATGCAAACGGCCGCCGAACGATCGAATGTGTCCGGACAGGTTGTCAGATAGTCCCCCCCAAGAGCGTGGGGCCCCATTCAGAAAAGAATTACCCAAGTCCCAGCGTGGACGGTCCCCGAACGACTGCGTGTGCCCAAACAGGCGATCAGATGGGCCCGCGACAAGTATAGGGCCCTAAGAAAATGACAGATAATTGGACACGGCCTAGACCAATGAAGGGGGCCCATAAGCGTATCGCAAGTGCGTCGGTAGGTTAACCGAGACCCACGTAAAGGGCCCCTGAGCAACCGAGGATGCCGCGGCAGGTTAATATATGGGACCCCGGTATAGCTCACCGAGCCTTTCCGGCGAATCCCGGGAAGAATCCGTGGAAGGGACCGCGATTGACAAGGGTGCCCCGGCACGCTAGCAGGAAGAGCCCCAGCAACAGCGCAGGCGCCCCGAGCAAATGCAAAGAAATGAAGGGCAACGTGCAATGCTCCTCAACGATCGAAATGATCCTGCAAGGGAGGGGATGCTTGTGCCCCCGGAAATAGTCTGTGGACCTACACGGTGTAATGAGAATTACAGCTTCCAGTTTACAACTTTTCCAATCAGTGAACAATTTTTTTGGCTTCCCATAGGCCCTTTACTTTCGCTTAAAGCTGTTCCTGGTCGCCTGGAAGTCCAGAGGTATTCAACTTTGTTGCGTTTTGCTTTTTTTAAAACTGCATACGCCTGTTCAGCCGGCTATGGGATGGGCCCCCTCGAAGCCAATGGGGGCCCTGCGGAGCCCAAGGGGGGCATGGCCCTGTGTCCCCCGCCCCTTTGGATCTGCCCCTGCTCTCTTGTCGACAGCCGCCAGAGGCCGCCAGCAGCGCCGCAGGTGTTTTTCACATTTTGCGCTGTCTCGGCAACCAGGGCAGAGGTGTGAATCGAACTGCAAAACTTCCATAATTGAGATTTGTTGCGCTTTGGCTCGGGTGCATAGATGGATGTTTTTAACTTGGGATGATGGGTTTTGCTCTACTCCACAGTTGTACACGTTTTGTTCCACATCTCTGCGCCCAAGGCACGGACGCACTCAGAAGCACGCATTGATGGGGAATCGAACGGACAATGTCGTGGCATAGATGGCAGCGTCATGTGTGCGCGAACCAGGATACATTGATTTGGCCGGTGCCGACCGTTTTTTTCACTGTTTGATACAATATAATGCTGCTTAACACAACGGTAGTGCGTGCTGTCATCATTTGAAGGCGGACAGTTGATGGAAGGACAAAAATCACCGGTCGCGTTCCACCATAAACGCCCCACCGGCATCATGGAAAAGGCTTGTCTAAATATATCGGCTCCCAGAACAGCTAGAACCGTGATTCCAACCGCAAAAGACAGATAATTACAAATGTTACATTACCCCACCGAGAGCAGCGAAGCAGACTGCAAACGCTCGTAATTCATTTACGTGTGGGCCGCCCCGTTTGGCTGTAACCCTATTTTAGCACTGTAATTGCTTTGCCAGGGATCGACACCAACGCGATAGGAGTACCGATGTAACACCGCACTTAGCAGTGCTTTTGGGACGGTAAGGGGTTGGTCCGTCGCATTCTTACCGAGCACAAACCCACCTGTGGTGATGGCGTATCGGCAGATAAACCTCTGTCGGAAGATGAAGACAGGCATTCAAAACAAGCTTTCGTCATTCCAGAAGTGAAGCAGTTTTTGGCAGGCCAGTCCGTTCAAGATTGTCGTGCTGCCGATGTCTGCTGCTGGTCCCGTACTGAAGGCCTGGGGTTTCTTATCCCAACTTTTGACTTTTGAAACCCGAAAGCCCGTGGTTCACGTAAGTCGGGTTAGAACACTTGGGTTTGGCAGCCATCCGCTTCAAGTCCTCTAGCTACGTGCCCAAAGAGACGCGAGTGCGGAACTAGGTCCATTAACGCCCAAAGTGTTTAACTGTAACAATGACTTATCCCCCCCCCCTCCCCTCTCCGTCCAGGGCTCAGGCCTCAAAGGTGCAGCTGCAACGGCTTGAGACAGGCACTTTCGTCCATTGAAAGCTCCCCGACAGGTCCCGGCTGCGCTCACATGACACGTCCAGGGGTGGGAAATCAGGGGCCTTTGGGGTGGATCTCACCATTCTCTGAAAACTTAGCGTCGGCTACGTGGGCGTTAACGGGATGAAAATAAATAAAAATGCCCCCAACCGCTTCCTTAATCGTAGCTTGGATGAGCTTCGGTTGGTCCCGGGCATGTCATTTGAGCATACAGTTATGCGACAGGACAGAAGACAGCTTTTGACGGAATGCACGAGCCATTCAAGGCTTTTTGTTTCCTGTATTTTCAGCGGGCGACAGATTGCACGATCACACAAAAACGCAACAGTGTCCAGCACACATTCATAACAATGCCGCTGCGATCCATGGTAACGGTAACTACAAACCATGGTAAACATTTTGAATGTCGCCACAATCCAACACGAGGAAAGAGGCGGAAAGGAACAAGGCACAGCCTTTCATCAATCTCAGTTTCATGACCCGCGAGCCACTCCAGCAGCAAGCCCGCCATTGGGCAGCAGGCCTGCTCAGCACTGCGTCGAGCGCTGCACTCATCACCGGGCGCTCGCATTCGGCCCCGTCGCCGGAGCCCGCGCGGCGCGTGCGGCTGGCGCGTCTTCACACGTGACGTGGAGCAGCGTCAGCCAGCCTGGTGGCGGCCCGGTAGGCGCGAGCTGGCCCAGCTAGCGGCCCCATCCACCGCAGCTAGCGGCCCCGCCAACCTGGTGGCGGCCCAGCTAGCGGCCCCATCCGCCGTGGTTAGTGGCCCCGCCAGCTTGGTGGTGGCCCAGCTAACGGCCCTGTCCGCCGCGGCTAGCGGCCCCGTCCGCCGCGGGCCACGCTGTCCAGCACGCGCAGCAGCTCGTCGTCCGTCATCTCCCGGCGACGCTGCCGACACGGGCGGCCGCCATCAGCGCGCCGCACACCGCACACCGCCGGCTCGCTGTGACGCCCTCTGCAGCGCCGTGCTCCCCCACCCACCTCACACACAACAGACATACGAGAGGCAGTTAACCGACTCACGGCATGCCCCAATCAGCACACGGCACGCTCCACCGATCGGCGCAGCCCACCCCGTCGGCCCGACGAACCCTGATGCTCCAAGGTCAGACGTTCCCAGAGCGATAATTCTATCAGTCACTCATGTGCAAGATCGTGTTTCGCTGTGGAAAACTCAGGAAACGACCAGTTTCCTATTCTTACGACTTTAGGCATGCTTAAACCGACGCGTGAATATGACGAAGTATGCGCAGTGTGTCGTCCCAGAAATAAGCGAATCGCTACGCCCCGAGACATCAAAGAACACCGCGCCGATGGCGTGTGCACGGCCGTATCCCGGGCCCGATGGGCCGGTCCGGTACGGCCGTATCCCGGGCCCGATGGGCCGGTCCGGTACGGCCGTACCCCGGGCCCGATGGGCCGGTCCGGTACGGCCGTATCCCGGGCCCGATGGGCCGGTCCGGTACGGCCGTATCCCGGGCCCGATGGGCCGGTCCGGTACGGCCGTATCCCGGGCCCGATGGGCCGGTCCGGTACGGCCGTATCCCGGGCCCGATGGGCCGGTCCGGTACGGCCGTATCCCGGGCCCGATGGGCCGGTCCGGTACGGCCGTATCCCGGGCCCGATGGGCCGGTCCGGTACGTACGGTCGTACCCCGGGCCCGATGGGCCGGGCCGGTACGTACGGTCGTACCCCGGGCCCGATGGGCCGGGCCGGTACGTACGGCCGTACCCCGGGCCCGATGGGCCGGGCCGGTACGTACCGACTCGTCCCGCCGCTCGTCCGACTCGTCCGCCTCAGAGTCTCCGTTGGTGAACAGAGTGCGCCGTTTGTAGCCCTTCAGGTCCGTGCCAAGGATGACACGCAAGCCCGGCGGCGGCGGCTGCTGAGTCTGCCGACACGAGGGCACACGTGCCAGAGGCGGGGCTGGGGCCATCGGGGTCGTCTCAGTAGCCAGCAGACCTGATGACAAGCAGGGGTAGGTCCGTGAGGTGACCCCGGGGTACGAAGACCATCCCACCAAGGCCTCAGGGGCTACCAGTACCAACGACACATACGGTCGCGCCAGACCAGACGCAAGACTGAGGATATCCAGTGTTCTGCCAGAGGAGCCTGCGCGGGCCGCCACGCTGAGACACGGTCCTGGCCGGGCCGACCGGGTGGCGGCAGTGCGGTTCGGTCATACGCACCCGCCTGAAGCGTTTGAAGTCGGGACCGGAGCTGGCGACGGCAGCAGCCGGACGACCGGCCGACCGACGGTGAACCAGTGACGTCGTCTGCAGACGCATACACACCCCGTCCAGACCAGAGGCGTCGCCGCCGGCTGCCACCTGCCGAAGTCATGCAACATCTCATCCACCACGTCGGCGTGCGCCGCGCACGGTCAGCGACGAGACCTTCACACATGCCACGAGCGAAACGCGCGGAAGCATCAGTGATGGTGGTGCCGTAACAGCGCTGGCCGCTGCCGCCGCCGTGCGCTGCCTCACACAGCTGGAGCGGCTGCTGGAGGACTCGCCTGCTCCTGCTTGAGCTGGGCCGGCAGCGGCGGCAGGGCGGCGCTCGCCGTCTCCGGTGCCGCCTGTACACTGCAACTCATCCAGGACGCGGCCGGCTCCAACTTGACGGCCGGGCTCGGGGGCGGCGCGGTGGCGGCCGGCGCACGGCTGGCCGCCGGCGGGGCAGGCTCGCTGGAGGCAGGCTCACTGCCGACGGCACACAGTGGGCAACGTCAGCAACCGCGCCGACAGCAGACATTGAACATTGTATTAATCCCTTCGACGCGGCAACATGGGCTTCCTTTGATGTCAAGCTTAATTCAGAGTGGTGCCGAACCAGCCCTGCGATCACTGCGATGCATCACCTGGCGCTGCACGGTGAGGTCTAAATGCAGTCGCGTCGGAATGGTACCGGGGCGGCCCATCACCGGCCTTCAGCTGACCCGCTCGCGCTGCCGACAGCGCCAGGTGACACGCACCGTGTGACCTCGACCTTGGGTGCCGACCGGCCGCCGGCCGCCAGGTCAAACCCGAACATGTCGGCGTCGCTGCCGGGCCGCCGCCTCGCACCGTGAGACAGCCGGCGCCGCTTGCAGGCGGCCGCCGGCTCGGCGAGCTCAGCGTCCCGCGTGCTGCGGAGGCCCAGAGGTCACATCAGGCGCCTCAGGCGGTGGCAAGGTCACGTTAGGCATCTCAGGCGGCCCAGAGGTCACGTCAGGCGCCTCAGGCGGCGGGTCGGCCAAACTGAAGAGCTGTAGTGCTGCCGATCTGGATCACGATCAGACGCTATCACGCCGAGACAACAGCATTTGATGTGCTGTGGAATAATGGATTGTGCACTGGTGCGCATGACATCAAAGATCAACCGATATGTATACATATACACACAGGAGGGAAAGAAGTCACCTGTACCGCTTCCACAGCAAATCAATAGTCACCGCTGCAAACACAAGACGTCAACGTACAACAATACAAGTGTACGAGATCTCTAATATTTCGACGGCCACCCGAGCCGCGTCAATGACTCGCTCATGTTCGGTATCCGACGTCATGGGAGGGTGCATCGCACAGCACATGGTACTGACTTGCAACCACCCACCTTTTCAGAGGCGGGCAGGTACTGACCTTCGGCGGCCGGCCGTCGGCAACGGCCCTGCCTCGGGCGTCAGGCTCTCGGTGGCCGGATCGTCTGTCGGCTCCCGGCGGGCCCGCTTGCTCTGTGGTGTGTGCTGCTCGGCCGGCGAGACCCGCCGGCCGGCTGCCGCTGGTCTGCCTCCCTGCGGCGGCGCGGTCATCTCGGCCTGGCTGGGGTCGGTGGCGGGCGGGGGTGGCGGGCGGGCGGGGCGCGGCGTGGCCGGTGTCGGCGGCACGATGCCACCCGCGCCCGGGCCGGCCGGCTCCGGCGGCTGCGTCTCCTTGGCCAGCACGGCGCCAGTCTGCCAACCACGCGGTGACGCTCAGGGCGCTGGCTCCCCGCACACCTGGCTCCGGGAGCTTCCTCTGTCTGACTTCATGTCAGGTGAGCTGGCGAGTTAGTTTACTTGAAAGATTTGGGCATCGACAACCGCGACAAAAAAAGGATAAATGTCCAGCATGGCCAAGGTTGCATGCTCCACACTTAGATCCCATGATTCTTGAGCTGAAAAAACGCCATGGAATGCCTGGCCTGCCGCCAGGCATTTCATGGCGTTCCATGGCGCTCCAGACGCCAGTCAGCGCCAGTCGGACCGGCGCTGCTGAAGGCACAGCCAGCGCCCGACTGCCCGGTCCTGTGACGTCACCGCCGTCAGGGGCGGCCAATTGCCTGCCGCCTCTGACCCCGCCAGTCAGGCGGCTGCTAGAATTCGCTCGCCGTGTGTGGCCCCCCAGGTGACCGCAGTGACCACACCAATCGTCGCCGCTGACCGGTACGCACCACGCCCTGGCTCTGCGAGCCGGCCAGCGGCGTCACGAACGCGGCCTTGTAGTTGAAGGCGGGGTTGCAGTCGCGCTCGGTGGACACGCGCAGCACTGCCAGTCCGATCTCCTGGTCCCGCACCATGCGCAGTCGCTTCCGCTTCAGCACCGCTGCCGGCACAGTCGGGCCGGCCGGTCAGGCACGCCAGGCGTCGCCGGCCGGCGCCAGTCCACCGCTGCACCAGCTGCGACCGCCGGTGGCGCGCGCCGGCAGCGAGGGCGCGCCGGCGGTGGGGGCGTGCGCCGGCAGCGAGGGCGCGCCGGCAGCGGGGGCGTGCGCCGGCACCGAGGGCGCGCTGGCAGCGAGGGCGCGCTGGCAGTGAGGGCGCGCCGGCAGCGAGGGCGCGCCGGCACCGAGGGCGCGCCGGCACCGAGGGCGCGCCGGCACCGAGGGCGCGCCGGCAGCGGGGCGCGCGCCGGCCGGCATTCATGAAGTTGAGTGGATTGAGGCAAGTGGATGCATGTGCGTCGGTCATAAAGACCGTGGTCATGACCACAGTTGCGAAAGCTCAGTGAATGCTCGGCGTGGCAACGATAGGTGCTTTTTGCGTTAGTGTATACAAGCGCTCGCGCGCTTGCTTCGCTGCGCAGAATGGGAACACATAGGACATTTAATGATCTATTATTTGCAGTTTAAATCACGCTTCTAGCTGATCTAGGAGCCGAGATATGGTGCAAAACGTAAAAGACACGGTCGCGGGCTGCGCGCTTTCCGGCGCCCTCTGGTGGCTGGCGGCGGGAGAGGGCACATTCTGCCTGCCCTCTCTGCAATACAGGCAAACCTATTCCATGGGACCGGAGATGGGACCGGGATGTGAAGGTGATTTTTGCCACTTCCATCAACTGTCCGCCTCTGAATGACGGCAGTACGCGCTGCCGTTGTATTAAACGACATTGTGTTGTATCGAAAAGTAAAAAACGGTCCGAGTATCGGCAAAATCAGTTTTCCCGGCTCGCGCACAAGTGGCGACACAATCTATACCATGTGATTGTCCGCTCGATTCCGCGCCAAAGCACGCTACTTCCGAGTGCGTCCGTGCCCTGGATGCAGAGATGTGGCACAAAACGTGTAGATCAGGGGAAAAGAGCAAAGATGTGAACCTTAAATGTAAAAACGCGCCGGCGTGAACAGTGAGGATCGCGCGCGGAACGCCGCCCGCCTTGACGCTGGCAGGCAGGAGGCGTGGCAGCGCCGCGCGCCAGGCAGCGCTGCACTACGCCAGAGGCATGTTTGTGGCGCCGCCCGAGCTGCAGCTGGGCCAGATGGAGGTCGTCTGCGCCCACTGCGGCGCGCTGCGCTGGTGGCTGCGCTGGAGTCGCCCGGCGCCTGCTGCCACGACGGCAAGGTGGCCCCGCCGTTCCTCCCGCCGCCGCCTCCAGCCCTGTGCCAGCTGTTTGAGCCGGAATCGCCACATATCAGGCGCCGGCATATGGCAATTTGTCCTGCAATTTGCAGCGCAACGGTGCGTTGCACAAACTCGCGACGCGACTGAAAGTGTAGCCGCGTCAGTTGTGAATGTTGGGAAACAAAATCCGCGCCGGTACGCGCACGGCGACCGTCACACACAGCGCGCCGCCGACCGACGTGCCTGGGCCGGGAGCACTCCTGCGGGCGACCCTCCGCCGGCTTGCTGCCAGACAGACTGAAGACATGCCAAAATGTTCGTTCTTTAATGTGAAGCTTGGCTAAATGAACAAAGTCGAAAGCCCGCCCCGTGGAAGGCCATTTTAATCCTTCCCGCCTAGGGCGTACGCCGGGAGCCGGGTCAATAACTTGCCGCCGTTGTGGCGAAAAAGCCGTCATGCAACCACATAGTCTAGGCTCATTCGCGAGCGACATTTTTTAAAATGCGGTCAACAAAAGGGTGCATAACAGACGGCACGAATCATCCGACACGATGATGTAGTTTTCAACGCTAGATCACGCATAGTTTTGATGGTAGCGGTTTGTATTCGGCTTCGGTTTTTAGAACTTGACCCGTTGCAAATTATACTGCAATTTGCAACGCAATGGTGCGTTGCAGAAACTCGCGATGCCCATTAAAAACGCAGCCGCTTCAATTGTGAATATTGGGAAATAATATTCAGGCCTCTACCTTCTTTCCGTGCCGAGATATGACGATGAACGTAAAACTGCGTCAAAACGGCCGATTTCATCTTGTCGGCACGTGTGCACGCGCCGTATGTGACGTGGAGCCAAAAACGCACCCGATTGCGATGGCCCATTCCGTGCGCTATCGGACTGCGCAAGTTTCATGTCGCTGCGACCGTTGGTTACCGAGAAAGGGCTTCGGGAAGTGAAGCGTATAGTAGAAGATTGATGTGTTGCTTTTTTGGCAGGCCATACATGCGTGCGCTGTTACACCGAGTGCGCTCTTCAATATCACAGCACGATCGGCCTCCGACCAGCTGATGACGGCCTGTGCCTTCTGTCCAGCTCCGGCATCATGGCGATCCATATCATTATGTAGAGTACTACCAGCTGTCCACGCAAGTTAACGAAGAATGAACAGCAACGACGGTGATTATCTCAATGACAGGAACATGCCAGAACCAGTGCTGATACCGGCCTTGCGCTCCAAAGCTCTACTTTTCTTTTAAATAATATTTCTGATAGAACTACGACAAAATACAAACGGATAACTCGGTAAACCAGGAGAGCATTGTTCTATAAGCTCTGAAGAGATGACGAGCAGTTATTTCGCTCGCGGTTTCGTTTGGTATTGGGCGCCGTTACTCCGAATAATTTACCAAATACATCACACTATTGCAAAGTCCACAGGCGGGGTCCTGAGATACAGTAGACGCCCCATGCAAACCACAGCAAAACTCGCCTCATGGAGACTTGTGTATATATCGGGAATGACGCAAATGAGACACAAGCAGTTTCCACCGACCCACTGGGACAATCACGGACCATCTGCTCACCTTTGACCCTGTTGATCCCCGGCGACTCGACATCGGTGTGCATGACCATCACGTCGGGCGTCACCAGCTGACTGGCGGACAGTTTCCCGTCGGAGAGCAACATCGACGTGCCGCCTGTCGGTGAGCCACGAGGCGTCAGACGGGGACTGCGTCCCAACACGCGGTCGGCAGCACTGCTGCACCACAAAACGCGGCCGGCAGCGCTGCTGGACCACAACATGCGGCCGGCAGCACTGCTGCGCCACAACACGCGGTCGGCAGCACTGCTGCACCACAAAACGCGGCCGGCAGCACTGCTGGACCACAACATGCGGCCGGCAGCACTGCTGCGCCACAACACGCGGTCGGCAGCACTGCTGCGCCACAACACGCGGTCGGCAGCACTGCTGCGCCACCTGCAGGTGTGTAATGAGGGGACGGTACAGCTCGCACGAGCGGAGCTCTGGCCGGCGTTTGTGGGACCCCCTCGCCCCGTCACCTGACTGCAGGGCAGGCCACAGCCTGACGCGTCACGCAGCCGCTGCCTGCGGCCGTCACGCCACGACGGCGGAGCGGCGTGTCGCCCGCACAGCCATGGCGGAGCCGTGCGTCACGGCATTGTAACTGGTTGGCACGAGCTCAACGGTGCGAGCATGCCACCGACATTGGGCATGCCTTGATCGGAGATGTCGGACGTTTCTTACCGGCCAGCTGTATGGCTGAGCGCATTCGCTGGTGCTGCGCCTCGTCAGTGAACACAAACTGCTTGCCGGCAAACAGCGTGCGGCGGCGTGGGTCCACCTGGCGGCAGCAGACCGCACGTCAGCTGGATGGTGGCGGCCAGAGCGTCCAGCAGGAGAGCGACCCGGGAGCCTGGAGCGGCCAGGGGTCAACACAGACCGACCGGCTTTGGGCAGCCGGCCTGCAGGCCAGACCCGGCCGGCCGAGCAGAGCCGGGACTGCCCCGCTGCTGCCGCGGCACGACAGGGACGACCACCACATAACTCCCAGACAGCACGGCGTGCCGCACGGCTCCGGGCTGCACACGAGCGCAAGGCTCACGGCGCCACCCTCCGCCGACGCTTGACATGTTGAGCAACGGCTGCCACGTTTCATCCGGGCCCGTCACCCGAGGCCGACTCACGCCGAGGTTGAAGTCCGGTCCGTTGAGTGAAGGCTCGTCGAAGGGCGGCTGGAAATCGTCGGGCGTGACGGCCGGTGAGATGGTGCTCTCTCTCCAGCACTCGCACGAGGTACGCACGTACGCCGGCGTCACCACCGGCACGCCGGCCGCCAACGCCTGCACCGACTGGCGGCCAGAGGGCGGCGCCGGTCACGGCGGGCCGCGGGAGTGCTCATCCCGCCAACCCGACACCGCTGACGGGGCGGGACGCGTCGGGCGAGACGACGTGATGGGCCCGGGTACTGACCCGACACCGCCCGATCGACACGGCTGTCGGGGCGTGGTCCCCCGGCCGCCGGCAGTCCGCCTGCGGCCCGTCCATGTGAGCACCCGTGCGACCACATCAAACGATACACGGCTGGGAAGGGCCGAGCGACTCCCGTGCGTCGCAGCGAGGCGATCCTGTCACGCGCGGAACAATGCCCTCCGACCACGCACTCGAAAACGCCATGCGCTTTTGGAGCACTGGAAGTGGTGCCAATGTGCACAAATGCGCAAATTTGAGCCGTTCGAGTCAATGGGCCATAGCAACAGCAAAATGCCTGGGACCTAAAGCAACGATGCCTCTGCCATGGGTGTCATGTCTCAGTCACACTGTTCATGTTTGGAGGATAGAATAAGCAGCTTATAATGCATGCCTTGCGGCAATCTGCAGATGGCTTGAGGCCAAAGCTCGCTCCTCGTTTTCCAAAGGTAAAAAATATTACCATTACCATGTGGTTGATCATCTTTGCACTAAACACATTGTTACCGGGGCTAGAACAGCGATCATTGTATTGCATATCAGCATAGATGCCCACAGCTAAGTGAGGATCACTGAGCAATGTCCTCTAGTTACTGTCACATCACACTCACACAGCAGCTTTGTTGCCGTGCCATTGCTGCTTATTGTCTTTTGTCTCCAATATTGTCAAATACGGTACGACTGCACTAAAAACATCGTGAGTCGATACAACGCTGATGCATACTTGCCGCTACAAAGGCGTGCCCTGCCGCCGAAGATGTCCACTAAACGGGCTACAGCTGTCGACACCCCCAGTCGTCTGTCGCCGAAGATGTCCCCTAAACGGGCTACAACTGTCGACAGCCCCAGCCGTCTGCCGCTCGGCCCCTCCTAGCCGCGTGTCGTTTGGTTTTGCCGCGCGGGTGCTCACATAGACGGGCCGCAGGTGGCGACACCCCGGCTTTTGCCCGCCACTGCGGTCACACCGAGGACGTGACGGTGGTAAATAGCTCACGAGGCGCGCAAATGGCTGAAAGTCAGACCTCAGTTGGAAATTAAAACGGTTAGATTGTCGCAAGCAACCGAGAATCGCTGCCGATAATTAAAATACGTAGGAAATGAACCATCTTGCTCTAACAGAACAGGCAGTTCTATGGTGAACTCTGGATATAAGTGAGTAGCGTGGCGACTGGGATGCCTCGCACCGAGGACATCGGGGGCGCTCTCCATCTGACAGGGGGTACTGATGTGGCACGTGCTTTTGGCCAGTTCGCAACTTCGCGAGCACTACGTCCTGAGGCCTCGCCTGGCGTAGGCCTCCATGGCCGCAGGCTGCGCCGTGGACTGAACGCTTCGAGTTTGCCGTTCACCGCCCATGCCAGCGGCGTCCGGTGTCCCCAGGCGGCCATTCCTCCGGGTAAGGACTGGGCCAGATGCTGTGTAACCTCAGTGATCGGATAGAGCCCGGCGTCTTCACACGGTCCGGCCGTTGCTGCCGTCGATCCCAGCGCCCGCGCTTCTGAACAGTTTTCCCCTCCTCAGGACCCGCGACGCACCAAGAGGGCGACTGCGACTGCTGAGTCTCCCCCCCCCCCCCCCCCCCACTCCCGAAACCCGCCGGGGACCAACGGCGAGATGGCGATGTACGTACAGAGAGGCGCGCACGGGAGGCTGGTGGGGCGGCCGGTGCGCTCCGGCCACGCGTGTTGGTAACAGCGTCGCCATGCCGAGGACCAGTGAGACTTACCTTCACGGAGAGTTTGAAGGAGGTCATGACCAGGAAGTCGACAGTGGGAGCCCACTCTTGGAGAAGCGTCGCCCCCAGCTCGATCAGCCACTGGCCCAGCTGCTGCCGGTCGGCCGGTGACAGCAGCGACGTGGCCACCGTCAGGGGCCGCCAGCTCAGGCTATCACACACGCACACCAGCGGCGGTCAAAGGACACACGCGGCCGGGAGACGGCGTCAGACACCGCCAGCCCGGACTACTGCATACACACCAGCGGACACACGCGGCCGGGAGACGGCGTCAGACACCGCCAGCCCAGACTACTGCATACACACCAGCGGACACACGCGGCCGGGAGACGGCGTCAGACACCGCCAGCCCAGACTACTGCATACACACCAGCGGACACACGCGGCCGGGAGACGGCGTCAGACACCGCCAGCCCAGACTACTGCATACACACCAGCGGACACACGCGGCCGGGAGACGGCGTCAGACACCGCCAGCCCAGACTACTGCATACACACCAGCGGACACACGCGGCCGGGAGACGGCGTCAGACACCGCCAGCCCAGACTACTGCATACACACCAGCGGACACACGCGGCCGGGAGACGGCGTCAGACACCGCCAGCTCAGACTACTGCATACACACCAGCGGACACACGCGGCCGGGAGACGGCGCCAGACACCGCCAGCTCAGACTACTGCACCATCTCCAGATGCGGCCAGCAATCGGCCTCTGTCTCACGGTCGCAAACGGGGGAACGCAGCGGGCTGGCTCGGACGAGACGGGGCGCAGGCGCCTTACGTCCAGGTGTTCCACTGCAGGCCGAATGTGATGACGGTCCCCTCAGCCACTGGCTCGTCTCCCTCCATTCGCTGGCCGTTGACTGAGGTGCCGTACTTGCTGCGGTCCGAGAGGGTGACCTGACCCGAGCCCGCCTGCGATGACTGCAACAGCCAACCGCCATCAGGTCACGCAACAACACGGACCAGTTTCAGTAAGGGAAAGGGAATGACGCTCGTTACAGGAACGGTGATCAGGGGCGCGGGAGCTTGTTACACGAACGGTGCGATCAGGGGTGCGAGAGCTTGTTACAGGACCGGTGATCAGGGGCGTGGGAGCTTGTTACAGGATCGGTGATCAGGGGCACGGGAGCTTGTTACAGGAACGGTGATCAGGGGCGCGGGGGCTTGTTACAGGATCGGCGATCAGGGGCAAGGGAGCTTGTTACAAGATCGGTGATCAGGGGCACGGGAGCTTGTTACAGGAACGGTGATCAGGGGCGCGGGAGCTTGTTACAGGAACGGTGATCAGGGGCGCGGGAGCTTGTTACACGAACGGTGCGATCAGGCGCGCGGGAGATTGTTACACGAACGGTGCGATCAGGGGCGCGGGAGCTTGTTACAGGAACGGTGATCAGGGGCGCGGGAGCTTGTTACAGGACCGGTGATCAGGGGCGCGGGAGCTTTGTTCAAGTGGGGGGGGGGGGGACAAGCTCCAAAAATGCCGAAATGGGCCCTCTGCGATTAGATAAGTGGCCCCACAAGCCCGAATGGGTCCTTTACAGTAAATAATAGGCCCTTTACAGGTCAGGATGGGCCCAATACGGTTCACAACGGGCCCCTTGCAGGACCAAATGCCCCTCGAAAGTCAATAATGGGTCCTCTACAGGCCAGAACGGCCCCGTATCAAGCCAGAGCGAGCCCTTCAGTCAATGACGGGCCCATCCATCAGACCAGCATGGGCCGTCCACGGCGTCCACAGATCAGAATGGGCCTCTATAGGCTGAAATGTCAATAATAGGCCTTCCGCAGGTCGCAATGGGCCCTCCACAAGCTCAGACGTGCCGTCCTCTGATCAAAATGGAACCAAAACAGGCCAGCATAAGCCCTCGACAGGGCAGAATAAACTTTCATAAACTTTCACAAGCCCTTTACAGTTCAGAATCAGCCCGTAGCATAGCAGAATGGGCCTCCACAGGCCTTCAAATTGGGGGGGGGGGGGGGCATCGCCCAGTTAGCTTTCAAGTTGGGGGGGGGGGGGGGGGCGAACTGCCCTCATTGCCCCCGGTTCGCGTGTCCTGGACAGCGATGCACGGGTCCATAGCAACTACTTCCGTAGTTTGTGTTGTAAAATCATCCGTGCACTTTGCAGAAGTACCCAATCTAGCCAAATTTCCGCTTCAGACAAAGCCAGCTGATAAGAATCACCAGCGCGCTTACATAACAGTAGTTTCATGCAAACCTGACGGACAAGGGCTTAGGTGGAAATGTTTTTATATGTTGTTACACTTTTCACTTTATGTTGTTGTTCATTGGAGTTTGCGGGCGCGTCGACTGCAGTGGTCATTTTGCGCCCATTTCACTTTATGTTAATCACATGACTGCACTTGCAGCGTTGTGTGACGCACGGCACACCCTCCCGTTCAATCAGTTTGATAACACGTCAGCAGGCACGACTTGGCATGTCAGCATGCACGACTCGACATGTCAGCAGGCACGACTCAACATGTCAGCAGGTGTCTCGTCTGGTGGTTCTGAAAGCATGAGGTGTTTGCGTGAAGAGCGTCACCATGCCCTAACATGCGGACCACCTGTTCACGGCCGAGCTGACAGCCGCACGGCCAGCTGCCACTCAGAGCCAGAGCCAGCTGCTCGGGTGAATACTGTGCCGCTGGGCTAGTAAACATGTGTTTAGAGTACAACGTTCCTCAAAACTGATACACATCTGCCGGAAGGCAAATAATATCTAACATTAAGGGATTAAAATGCAGCCAAGTGTAAAATTTTTAGAGCAATTTTGCTTGATATTATCAGAAACTAGCAACATAAACACCGATGCATACTCTGGTACATCGCCATATTCCCACACCCGACACCACTCGGGAGTCTTGCCATTCTTGCCGTGGCGAGTCTGGTGCTGCGCCGGACCACGACGTCTTATAGAGATGGCACAGAGACACCTGACACCGCCACTCGGCTTGGGGAGCATCTCAGAACACATCAGTAATTGTTCTGAAGGTTCGTCACAGGCTCGCCGTGGGTTCGTGGGATTGGAAAATTAGACGACGAGCGAGGAGCGTGTATTGCCCAGAGGCAATGCAATACAACGATGCAAACATTCGTGATGCTGTTCGGGTTCGGGTGCGCTTCGACTGCAGCGATCATTTTGCGCCCATAAATACGTCAGGTGATTTCCACACGATAAGCGCATGCGCGAATTGCGCGCTAAGTGTGCAGTCTTCTCTGGCCACGTCAAGCTGGAGCTTGCCTTTCCAAACGTTCAGTTCGTACACGTGCAGCGGTAGACACGCCAGAGCGCCGCCTTCCACTTCCCAAACGTTTCAGAATAGCATCACATCTGCAGTGTTATTGACGTTTTTCCGCCGCAGCCAACAGCCCCCCGACCTCACTCACATCCGTCCGTGATATCCGCCATATCCGCAACTTCCTCAGACGCATCCGATGCAATTTCAGACCGCGGCCGAGCATAGTCCGCTCGTCCCACAAAGGCCCGCCAGCAGCACCATCAGTGTTCAGTGTTCACCTTCATCTAAACTTGTGATGAGATGAAGTCTGATCAGGTTTAAATGAGTCCGCCCCAATGTCGCCAGGGTGCGGTGCAGCGGCAGCGTCAGGTTTCGTTCGATGCTCATCCTCGTTCCCGCCAGCTTCCTTCCCGGCTCGTGTCTGGGCGTGTGCTGGCCATTTGGGCTCCACGGCAATTAATGTCTCCAGACGACCTAACAGGTTCACTGTCCTCATATAGCGGCGGATTCTAGTCGCATCTTCGCAGACAATCTTGCCAGACTACTGCTTCGTTTGTAAATGTTGGCTCTAACTCTCAAGTGTGGAATCGGTACGAGGTGACTTTTCCCGTGCAGTGGATTGTGGTAAAACGGCCGAGTCTGGCCATGGCTACGTTGTCATAAAACAATCACCCAAACCAAAAACATTACCAAGATATCTTTAATTTTAATTTTAGAAGTCGTGGAGTCGTGGGCATGTACAAAACACTTAAATACATACCAACAGTCGCGATACATGCTGACAATGCTCCCTGGTGGCGCCGCTGTCGCGCACAGGCGTAACCACTTGCTTTGCGTCAGACGAAGGACCTTGGGCCCGACTTTTTCGCCGGAATAATCACATTCTTCTCCACTGGCGCGAGCAGTTTTCGCCTAGGCAACTTGTTGTATGACTGATGACATCTTGGCATGTTCATTATGCCCGCCCCGATAGCTCAGTTGCTTAGAACGCCTGCCTTCCGATCACTCCACCCGTGGCCCGGTGGATTCGAGTCACTTTAGGCGCCGGCTGTTTGCCCTTGACAGATACGGCCTGCGACCGGTGGCAGCAGCCGCGCTTAAGGTCAGGTGACGTTACAGGGCAGGGTGGACCGTGCCAAGCACTGCGGCGCGTAAAACTTTCGCAGCCAAACTCTGCCGTTGACCTGGCATTGCACGATCGGATGGCAAGGGTCGCGGCTCACACCAGTGCTGCTCAGCGTGAGCTGTGATCCCAGAAAACCAGGCATTCAAAAGGTTCAGATAAAATATGCAAGCTGTTCAGTGCATTTGCGAGGAGCATTATTCGCATAGGTAAGGCAGTAGTAAGAGCCTTACCCCGCGAAGAAAAAACAGGAAAATGGAGATATAGATGGGCTGAGATTTTGGCAACATGCCTTCATCAAAACAATAGCAGAAGTTCTCCTGGTTTCTCTTTGAGGAACAAGGCTATTACTTCTGAATTAACTTCAGATAAAATATTTAAAATATCATCATGAGTACGAGTCATATCTGTTTAAGAAAGGCAATACCCAAATACCATATTTTAACAGAGCCAAAACAGCACAGCCATATAACCTTTGACGCCACCTCAGTGTCAAAGAATATCATTGCATCTCATCACATACACGTATTTATGTAAATGCCACATACATACCATATCCTCCGACGTATACGCAATGTGTATGCATGCATGCACTCGGCTGATGGACTTGTCATCTTCCAATCTGATGTCAGTTCGCCGGCCCACAAAAATATCCCGATTGCAGAGAAGGTGGTGAGCGGTACCTGTCATCAAAAACAAAGTGTCATGTGCCTTGTGCATGCCCTTTCAAGTCTTGAGTTGTATGTACCACAGATTGGGATGAATTATTGGGATGAATACAACTTGGCAATTTACATGGTCTCTTAAGTTCTCACTTGGCAATTCTCATGGGGTCTCCCTGGCCTGTTGAAGTAAGCAGGATGGGAATAGATAATTTCTATCACCTGCATACAGATTTACATACCCTGCAACACAAAGTTGATGAAACTTAAATACTCCCAATATGTACTTCCAGAAACCAATTTAAGATCACTTAAGGTTGTTTCATGACCTCCAATGATCATGACTTTGCAAGAACTGAGCTTATGAGATGCATTTTGAACACTGACAATGCTGCAATGTGACAAAGGGCATGGTCATTTATGACATGAATGGGGTTGCTGAGGCCCCAGACATGTGGTTTCACAAGACCAGTTATAGTGATCAGCCAGCTGAAAATGACTCAGAATAACCCCATTTTCACACCAGGGATAGTATCCAAGTGCCAGGGATAGCATCCAACAGAATAAAAGGAATTCTGGGCTGCTGGGGAGGCAGAAGTCTGCTAGCATGAATCAATATAAACACTTCAAATTCAACAGAAGGATGAATTTTGGATTGCTGGGATGGGGGTGAAGCCTGTGGCCCACACACTGTGTGAGCTCAACCTGATGGAGCCCACACTTTCCAAATTTTTAGGTAATCTAGGCATATGTCATTCCCAGGCCTATGCAGGCAAGTTTACAAAAGAATACACCCCTGCAATACACATCTCTGCTCTATCAATGTACTTACCTGATGTCGACATGTGTTCAACCTCAGATGAGAAATATTAAAGTTTTTAAGCTTGCCTGCCTGAAAAGTATTTTTAGAGCACTGTTGCCTGGAAAATTTTCTAAATATGTTTGCATCAAGAATGTTGTCTGAGTACCAATGAAGGTAAATTCCTCAAAACATGGGCTCATATCGCACTGGAACACGTGATGAGCATGTGCCAGACTCAGCATTCGGATCAACAGAGTCCATACACTGATTTTGTTGATGATGTGCTCCTACACCAGGCATGTGAGGCATCATGAGTACTTTTGCAGGATGGTATACACACAGGTGGTAAACATGAGACTGAAATCATCAGCTCCATAAAAATATAGCCTGTATCCCAATTGTTTAGAAAACTAAACAAGTGGATTTTCACAATTTAATTTTCCTCAATTGGAAGCTCAGAAAACCTCGAGCTAGAACTCTCGTCCGTCGTAACTCATTCAGCAGGGGGGTTGTCAATGACTGGAACGCTCTTCCACACCCGGTCGTGTCGTCGACCTCAGTTGAACAGTTCAAGTCTAGGCTTGATATGCAATGGGCTGACATCATGTACGACGTCCCGCACTGAATCTTCCCATAAACTGACTGTTTGGTTAGCGGACCGGGAGCCTGCCGAGACCGGGACCTACAGGCCTAATGGCCTTTTACAATTCCTTCCCGATCACCGCAAGGTAAGGTAAGGTTTAGAAATTCTGCAAATACGAACTAAAACTTACCAGGCGATCTATCATTCCCGCTCAAAATCCACATCTTGCCAGGTTATAGCACAATATTGTGGTTTAAGTATTACGCGAAATGGTAATATTCTTCGCACCGTAAATTACCGCCACTGTAAATAACCAATTCCAGTATAGTCTAAATCACAAATTTAAGTCCTAAGTCATACACACTTAAATAGGCATCTCATCACCATACAGTCTCCACATTGGCCACTCTGAGAACTCCGTCCGACCTTGCAACCGGTACGCGGCAAGGCGATAGACGTCACACAGAGTACTGCCAATTTCGAACGCCAAAGTTCTACGCGGTGAAATTGCCTCTAGCGCGCGGAATTCGGGCGCCGTGCGATGCTTTCGCTGCTGTATTCGCAGCCAAATCAGATACAACAAAAAAGTTAACCTGGCTGAGAGACCGGTACCAATAAATTATGAAAGCCGTGAAAACTATAAGAATGTCATCGAAACAAGTTGATAGCCATAATCATCTCGCAACTCTCCGCAAACTTGAGAAAAAGTTTTGGGTATGACGTCAAGTAGGCTGACCTCGACGCCCTGGCCAAGTGGTCAAAGGAGTGGCTGCTCCCCTTTAGTGCAGCAAAGTGCAAAATAATGCACATCGGGAACTGCAACCCGAGGCTGACGTACTTCCTGGACGGTGCCGAAATCGCGGTCGAGTCCACCGAAACGGACCTCGGGATCTTCGTGGATTACCGGCCCCAGTTCCACGTGCAGACGGCGGAAGCGGTCTCCAAGGCCAACCAGATGCTGGCGGTCGTGAGGCGGTCTTTTGCCAATATCGATGCTCGCACGTTGCCATTGCTTTTTAAGATCTTACTACGTCCGTACTTAGAGTATGGCAACGTTATCTGGGGCCCGTTCGGCAAACTGGGCCAGAAACGGCTGGGACGGGTTCAGCGACGAGCTACCGGGCTTGTCTATGAAGTGAGGCGCCAGCCATACCCTGAGAGGCTCAGACTCCTTCAGCTGCCCTCACTGTACTATCGTCGTCGCAGGGGGAGACATGGTAACGGTGTACCAGCTATTTCATGGAGGTATGTCGCTATCGGAAGAGGAGTTCCTGACAAGGCACAACTCGGAGGTGAAGAGAGGACACCAATGGAAGCTCAGAAAACCTCGAGCTAGGACTCTCGTCCGTCGCAACTCATTCAGCACGCGGGTTGTCAACGACTGGAACGCTCTTCCGCACCCGGTCGTGTCGTCGACCTCAGTTGAACAGTTCAAGGCTAGGCTTGATACGCACTGGGCTGACATCATGTACGACGTCCCACACTGAATATTCCCATAATTTGAGACTGTTTGGTTACCGGACCGGGAGCCTCACGAGACCGGGACCTACAGGCCTAGTGGCCTTTTACAATTCCCGATCACCATAAGGTAAGGTAATGTAAGGTAAGTATCAAAATCAGCTGATCAACTGAAAGATTTATTCACGCTCGGCACTATCACTCAGTTCCGCGCCATGATTGCCGTTTAGAGCACTCCCCCCCCCCCCCCCTCCCCTCCCCTTGGTACGCTATGTTGATTGGTGTGGTTGGTGCCCTGCATTCTAGTCATCGGGGAGTGCGGATTGAAGTGTGGTATTGTGCAAGTAAGCTACTTTTGCCGTTACATTGCTGCAAGCTTGCTGGCTCCTGCTGAGTTCTGTCATACTGGGCTGAGGTAAGCACCTAAATGGAAGGTTTCGGGTGGTTGCGTGGGCGGTGAAGTACGCCATTGCCATTGCCATCGTCTTATTGTCCCTATTTTCATCTTTTGTGGTATAGAAAGTGGTCATGCAATGCGTATGCAATATTTCAGATACCAAGCTGCTGGTTTTCAGACCTTGGTAGGTGCATCAACTGGATGTTTTGGGCTGGCAGAATCCTCACCCAATTAGAGTTGTAAACTGGGTCATTGTGGGCATGTTTTTGATCAGTGCCCCAAGTCATGATTTTCCCTCAGTATATGTCATTTTCTATTAACTCACCAGTTCTGTGTGTCATATGATATATTGATTCTCTTCACATGTGAATACAATAGTTTCTGCCATTAACTTGATAAACTGCTCAACTTGGAAACTTTGTTCCCCCTCACCCCTGCCCAAATGAAATCTTGCTGAAACAGCCATGGCTTGATGTCCAGCTTAGCTGTCTATCCAGTTACACAACTAGCTAGCTGGTAGTGTAACACAAAAAAATCAATCAACACTACTGTATGATAATGTGATATAGGTGTGCTCAATGCAAACTGCAAAAAGAGATGTGTTATGCTGCAGAGCATAGCAGTGTCAGCAGCAACCAGTTCACCTCATACTACCAGTACATCTCTGTTTACCTGAGGTTCGCAGTTTGGTGCACTTGCCACCAATTTTAAGGCGGAGAGCCAGTGTTGCACAGTGTTGGAAAACTTGATGTTTCCTGGTATAATGTATCCCAGAAGATTTTGCACTCCAGGATTGTGACTAGGTAAAATGGAGTATTTTGTTCTCCATCATAATACAGCAAAAACATCTCTTGGAAAACTCACTTAACCTCTTTGTGTCAGAACAAAATAAAACCAGAAGGTGCAACAGCTTGTGACTTACTGCTTCCATCAGGAGCCATGTATTGATATCTGCAAGAGTACAACTCTTGCACCCACCAGATTAAGATGCCTAATATCAAGCAGCCTGTGTTACCACCTAGGTATATGATAAACCATTTATGGAAATGTGGAAAATTAAGTGTGTGAATGTTGAATGGAATCATCTTTGAACAATACTGGGAAATGAGAAACAAGTAACCAGAATCACACCATTCTGTAGACTAGCAAAGCTCTGACTCCCTACGCCCCATTCAGACCAACTCAAAATTGAACTTGACTTAACCTACCATTGATGACAAGCTGCATCAATTGCCAAGGATGCAATGAACAGTCATAGAAAACCACATGTCCCATCACCCTACCACAGAGGGTTGCCTACTCTTACACCACTGCATCATGGCAATGCAAATAGATAATCACTTGCAAAATCACTTGCAATTCAGTGTTGAAAATGTCTAAACTATTAAGTGGCCTGCACCCACCTCCTGGCTCAGGCTGGAGGTTGAACATAACAAAACTCTCCAATTGGTTTTAATGATACACCTTATGACTGATTTGTCAACAGGATAAGTATTCTGCTTGCACTCATGCCTTGAACAGATTTGTAAACATTTGGAGGGAAGCTGTATAGAGATCAGCATCATGGGCATGAAGAAGGACTTTTTTGTACTCATCCAGAACTGCCATGGGGTTTGATTTTTGGCCACTTTGCAGCATGCAGAGTACAAAATGTTACAGCAGCTGTGGATTGAAACCAAGTAAAATTTGGCACTTAAGGGTGTGAAATTAAAGCTGGTAATTCAGGGTTTACAAAAATACCCTTTGAAGTGGAAAAACATTGCTATAAATAGCCAAAAAGCTGTTCAAAGACAGCCATTTCACTCCTGCAAAAACACCAGGACACCAGAGTGAGATAAACCTGTAACTTTGGCCCAACAAATTAAGGAGAAGGGCTTATTAGGCCAAAAATGACATTGAATTGCAACATAAATGATCATATTTTGCAATGATATTGGTGAAAGAGCATCAAAACTCATTAATGCATTGTGTTACCCGCTGGAGTCAGCAGAGTGACTGACTCCGATCCCTTTTGGCCGGCTTATACCGGTCCGTTAGACATTGTACTTGCGCTGGCTCGGTTAATCAGTGAGGAGTGCTGCCTGTCTCTTTTGTTCCGGTGGGACGTGCAGGGCCTCGTGTGTTGACCGGGAGGTGGAAGGTGGTGGGCGTGAATGCTTGGCTGTTTTTAAAACCAGTTAGCTGGTGGAACGTGAGCAGCGTGACCGTGGTGGAGCGTGAGTAGTGTAAGCCTGGTAAAGCATGAGAAGGTGGCTGTCTGTGGCGTGATCATTTGCGTTTTTTGCATACCCTTTTTCTCTGGCTGTGCACATCGTACACACCCTGCATTTTGGAGGGTGTATAAGCCTGGTGTGAAGCCACCCTCCTTTTTGCAGGGTGTTTAGGCCCAACGCATCATTGCTCTCCATTTTGCAGGGTGTGTGCACAGAGCCTTTCATAAATTGCAAACCGATGTATATCTACATGTGTGCATAGTACAGAGTATGAGACTGTTTTTTCAATGTGCCATGTTTGATACTGATGTTTCCTATCATTTAAACTGCTTTTACATGAATTGCTGTTTTTGAAAAGTGGAGTTTTTTTTAGTACCACCTACTGTACTGTTATCTCTCAAAGATAACCAAAGTAAAACTGTAATGACCCACAGCATTTGGGTAATTTTGTACTCCATTACACCAATTTGTTCTCTGCTACCAGGAAATTTTTTAGAATTTCCGACACGGGTGTTTCAAGGGAGTGCAGTGCTGTAAAAATAATTTCAGCCAAACACACTGAAAAACTAAGATGAAAGCAATAAGAAAATCTTGAATGATCATATAATTATGGTAGTCATGTAATTATCATAACAAAATGGCATTTGCATCTGCACAAATTGAGTAACTGAACACCACCAGGTTGTTGTGTTCCTGTGCACACCACTTTTGAACACACAATGACAGCCAAGTTATGTGTTACAACACATTCTTTTCTGCTATTGCATGCATCATATCTACAGTTGTGGCTTAAAAACTTCATTGACAGTAAGCCCCTGACATAGAAATGTGTGAACTGCTGATGGAGTTGCTCAGCTGTCAATTAGTAGCCATCAGTTGCAGTGTGTGCACCATATGGGTTCCCATGGAAGCATCCTGAAAACAAACCTTAGTTTAAAACAATCATCTTTGGGATCCATTGTGTTGTAAAGTTGGGGCTAGGCAGATACAGACACAATATGCCATTAATAGGCTGATGTAATAGTTTTTGCCACAAACTTTTGATAATCTGCCCAACTTAGAAGCCGTGCCCCCCCCCCCCCCCCCCACCTCTACCCAATGACATTTTGCCATGGCAGTATTTAAGGGTGTAGATACCAGTATACCCTCCTACAACACCATGAAGGAAAAATCACCTGGTGCTGAGCAGTGCACGGTGAGCCAACAGTCCTCTCTGCATCACCAATGTCATCGCCAATGCACTAGTGCATTACCTGCTCTTCTGTCAGCATATGGGGGAGACAATGGCACATAATCAAGCAAAAGCATCTGTCAGACTGTCTTTGCCAGAGCTGTCATGATTTCAACAGGCTTGACTGAGTCATAGCTTCACAACAAAAGTCCAACTTTCATTGCTGAGGTTGAAAAGGACATATGTCAGAATGTGCCAGAAACCACAAAGGTTAAAAATGGTATTGGTGCTTATGGAGGAGGAGAGCAGGTAGAATTTAGAGATGGTAATGGTATAGAGAAATGATGAAGAGAACAATGATAATAGATGCAGTAGAGATGATAATGTATATGTTTGTAATAGTTTGACAAGCAACATATTTTTTGGACAGATAAGGTCAACCTAGCACAGCATGGCTGTTACTATGGTGTGTGCAACAAGCTCCACCTATCTTATCATATGTGGCCAGTGTTTAACATTCAAAACAGGTGTACATTTCTTTAGAATGGCAAAATTTAGAGTTCTGGCTGAGGGGCAGCATCTGCTCATTCATTGCATCTGGGCACAGCCTCCAGCCTCTGCTGCATCCAAACATAAGCCCTGCACATTCAGCATGTCTAATCTCAGTTGTTTTACATCGCAGAAGCGCAGCCAGTCCACTCAGGGGAAGCAAGCCAGCGCGTCGGTCGGGCCCCGGCAGCCGCAGCGGCAGCAGCGGCGGCAGCGGCGGCAGCGGCAGCAGCACCGGCGGGAGCCCGCCAGCCGACTCGGCCGCTGACGGCGGCGCCGCCGTCGCGCGTGGCCGCCCCAGTGTTGGTTGGCGGCGCGCTCGGCCCCGGGCCGGGACGTTTGGGCCCCAGTCTCTCCAGGTATTGCACTGGCGGGCCGAGCCGGTGCGCGCGCCGCGCCGGCGCGCCGGCGGACGGTGTGTGTGTGGGGCGCGCGGCCCGCTGTGAGGACCCTGTGTGACGCTGATGGACGCTGTTGTCCCGGTGTACCACGGACGCCGTCAGCGTCGCGCGCCAGCCGACGGCCCCGCCACCGCCCGGACGTTCAGCACGCACCTCAAGTCGGCTCGCATCCTTGTTTCTTTTCTCTGCCTTCACCTTGGTTGGCCAGGACTAGTGGGTTTGTGCGCCCGGCGCGCTGGTTCACGCTTGGGCCGAGCGACCTGGCGCCGGGCGCGTCGCTGGCGGAGCAGCACAGTAAGTCAGCGCCCGAAGCCACACGCGGTGCGCGGCGGCCCACAGTGACGCCTGGGATTACTCCGGTGCCGGCCACGAACTGGCGCGCCAATGTGGCAACATGTGCTGGACTGGGTCACGTCTAACGACGTTGGTGATGCCTGGCTTACGTCACCTTCGTCAGGTGTCTCAGTGTGAATGTTGATGACAGGAACACATCTCGATTGCGTTGTAACATCACCTGTAAGTAGGCCTTTTCCTGCTTCCGTTTTCCTACTTCATTGTCTATATATCCTCGTTCAGGAAGTGTGATAGTGCGCCAGGGTTCTGCCAGCTGGGATATAGCTGAGATGGCTTTGATTATCATGTTATGAACTGTACTTAGCCGTTGAAACAGTGAGGTTATAAAAAATTATGGTCATTATATATTCATAGCATCGTGTCATGGTACACCATGACATGATGACATGACAGTGTTTCCATGTGTGGAATCGACTGCTGTTATGCGGTCAGCGAATGTCTTGAAGTGGTCGTCTGTAGAATGAAAGCATTCGTTTACTGAAGTTCCCACCTGATCGTTGTGAAACTGGTATGTCTGCCTACCTGTCATTGGCTGATTTATTACGGTATCGTCTGTTGATGACCGTTGCTATGTTTCTTGTGTTGTGCCAGTATGTGGCAATCATTCATTGTGTGGTCATGTTTCCCTTTTCAGTTCATCGCGGTAAGTGGCAAAAACGGCTGACTTTACATTCACTGTCATCTGAAGCCAAAGAACTGTGTCTTGAAATTTACAGCTGTTCAGGAGAGCAGATTCACGGCATTCACGACGGATTTGTTGAACCGCTAGACTGAAGCATCGCGAATTTCTCAAAACGCTGCCGGGCCTTTTGAAGCATCAAATGTTGGCCTTTCTTCATGGAGCTCATGAACTTATGCTGACAGTAGTTGAGCTTGAATACTATATGTGTCCTTTTGCATTATACGGTCATAAAGGCTCTGGATTTTGTGATCCCGCAGTGTTGATACTTAACTAAAACCAATGTTATCTGATAGCGTCCTTTTGCCAGTACCTCCGTTATCCTGGAAGCCAATAACTATAAACAGGAGTTTAAACTTACAACGCCAGAGAAGCGGGTGCTCACAGCCCTCCTTCCTTACGTCAGGTGGCCATACACGCTGCTCACGTGCTCCATGCGTGGAGCGCGCTCAAAACCCCAGTCTACGCATTTGTAGATGTGGCCTGCTGCGATTAACTCACTACTTTTTAGTCATTTAAAAAAAACTAAATCAATAAATTCCGTTTTGATCTCGATGACGAAACAAGATTTCAGGTGAGTGATGCTGAAAATTTGAAGGCCATTGATTTGCGAGAACGTTTCCTTTTTTATCGGACCCTTCCCTGCATTACGAGCCTTCCCTTCTGGGTGTTGTGACACCTGTATTATGTTCAACACCAGGGTACGACAAAATCACCAGCCTGTATTGTGGCAGCTGTGCGTTGGTGACCACAGTTCGCTTCCACTCGAATGCTGGCCGGGTCAGTTTCTATCAATCCTTGGTGGTTCGGCGGGATGGCTAACAGGGCACCATGCTCGCGCCGGTAATGGGGGTGGCCTGAACGGTGCTGCCTCCGGCGTCGTTGCCGCTCCACAGCCAGTCGTGCCGTACACGTTGGTGCCCGGTATGGCCGGGGTAAGAGCGGCCTCCCCTGGCCCGGACGGCGCCGCGGCGGCGACAGGCCACCTCTGAGCGACGCGCCGCTGTTCTAGCGCCGCCGGGCCGGCCAGAGCGGCAGCCATGGAGGCGGGAGGCGAGCAGGCGGCACCGGGCGCCGACAAGGCTGCCGCCAGGGAGCTGGCCGCTGGTGACGACAACTACGACACCCGCTCCGAGGTCAGCAGCTCGTCCAAGTCGCTGCACTCGGAGCTGAGCGTCGACGTGGACGAGGGCTCGGAGCCGAGCGTCTCGTCCGACGACGAGGAGGAGGAGGAGGAGGAGGAGGCGCCGCCGCCGCCGCCGCCGCCTGGCGACAAGGCGCCGGCCAACGGCGAGAAGGCCGCTGCTCTAGCTCCCGCCAGCGGCGGCGGCGGCGGCAGCGGCGGCCGCGAGAGCTACCTCACCAAGCTCAACTACTTGTTCCGCGACGCGCGCTTCTTCATCATCAAGTCCAACAACGAGGAGAATGTGGCGCTGTCTAAGGTGCGCGGCGTGTGGTCGACGCCGCCGCAGAACGAGGCCAAGCTGAACCAGGCGTTCCGCGAGTCGCGCAACGTTCTGCTCGTGTTTTCAGTGAAAGAGAGCGGCCGGTTCTGCGGGTTCTGCCGCGTGTCGAGCGAGTCTCGCCGCGACCTCTCGCCCGTCAGCTGGGTGCTACCGCCCGGGCTGCCGGCGCGCGCGCTCGGCGGCGTCTTCCGCGTTGCTTGGATCAACAAGAACGACCTGCCGTTTCCCAAGACGGCGCATCTGTACAACCCGTGGAACAACGGCAAGCCGGTTAAAATCGGCCGTGACGGCCAGGAGGTGGAGCCGCGTGTGGCCGAGGAGCTCTGCCGGCGGTTTGCACGTGACGACGCTATCGACATGAACCCTATCCTGATCGACTCGAAGCGCGCCTCGCGCACCGTCAAGACCAGCAAGCCGCTGCTGATGCCGACGCCGCCGCCGATGCGTCGCGGCCGGCGTGACTTCCGCGAGCGCGGCGCCGGCAGCGGCGGCGGCGGCGGCGGTGGCGGCTACCGCGGCCGCGGCCTGCGCACGCCGGTGCGCGAGCCGCCGCGGCTGCCCAGCCGCCGGCCGCGCTACGACGAGTACGGCCGGCCGCCGCCGCCGCGTCGCGACCCGGGGCCACCGCGTTACCACCCGTACAGCCGGGAGCGGCCGCCGCCGCCGCCGCACGAGCGCTCGCCGCCGCGCTTCCCGCCGCGTGAGCCCGTGCCGCGCATGTACCCGGAGCTGATGCGCGAGCTGGCGGCGCGCGGCGCCCCGCTGCCGCCTCTGCCGTACCCGCCGCCGCCGCCGTTCGACCCGATGGCGCCGCCGCGCTACTACGACGGCCCGCCGCTGCCCGAGTTCGTGCCGGCCGGCCGCAGCGCCGAGCGCCGCATGTCCGAGTACGACCGCTCGGTGGAGGAGTTCCTGCGCCAGACGTCGGCGCACCGCGAGCGCAGCAGCCGCGAGCGCCGCCACCGCGACCGCCGCTGAGCGGATGTGATAGCCGGTGTCGACGGAACGCCCGCGAGGTTTGAACGCGGCCGCGGCCGCGCCGAGCTGTGGCCGCTGTTTAATGCTCCGCTCTGTTGACAGAGGGCAGATCCCGAGCTGTGGCCGCTGTTTGATTGCCGCTGTTTGATTCTCCGCTCTGTTGACAGAGGGCAGATCCCGAGATGTGTCCGTCGAGCGCAGCGCAGAGCATGCCCTAGCATTCTGTTGTTTGTATGCCCTCCTGCGCGAGGTTCGGCCGGGGCGGGAGCCAGTGTTGGTCGGGGCGAGGTGTACCGTTTTTGGGAGTGTTGGTCCTGGTCCGACGGACGTGGCGGCCAATAGCGGGCCATCACTACAGTGGGAGTCGGCCGTTCCCTGACGGTCATGAGCCTTCGATACGGAGACTGCTGGCTGTCGATGGCGGGATCTCGTGTGCCGTGGTCGCTGGAGCCCTCGTCAGCGGTCTCCGGCGGTAGGTGGCCGACACTGGACGGGGTGGCAGTGCGTGAGGCCAATGACGAGCCCTACGCTGATGAGGTGGAGCCACTGACATGCTCCGTGTTCGTGATAGTCGCCTCTTGGGGCGGGCGCCCGCTGTCGGTAGCTCTTTGTCAGCCGTTAGGCACGTGACTAGGTGTTTTGATGTATATGGATCACATGTTTTGTCATCCGCTACGTAGGAAATGCATAGACCATGAGTTTGCCGTGAATGTGATCCATACGGGGGAGCCCAGTCAGACAATGCGGGTATCGTGCGATGACGAGGGGACACTGTGTCACCTGCACCGACCGGATGGTTAACGACACTGGATGGGCATGCGAGGCGCCGGCTGAAGCTGGTGCCGAGTTGTCAGGACGCTGGCCATTCTGCTCTGCATTTCGGCGCAAGGACGCAGCGTCTGAGTCTCAGTGGAAAGGACGGAAACTTTACTCAAGTCAGACCAGGTTGCTGACCGTGAAGGCCCAGTCTGATAGGGCGCCAGTTCCCGGGCGCCGCAACGCGTTTGCGGGATTGTGAGTATTTCACGCTGCAGGCCCTCGAGGGTCGTATTACAGTGGCCGCCGCCGTGCCAAGCAGGGGCCGTGGCTCGATGGGTGCTCCGTACGCGGGGCTGATGGCCTGTATGAACCGCAAGGGTTTTTGTTTGTAATCGACTGTGTAAGTGATGTTCGATACTCGACGTGAAGTAGGCACTTAACATTCGTTTCGATAGCCGAATGACACCGAGCGATGGTTCGTAGTAAAGGACCACTGGCTCGAGTCCGCAGCTCTTGCTTGTGTTGCGTGTGCTACTCGCGCTGTGAACTTAATCCGTTCAGTGGTGGGAGACCTGCTGTTGCTGCGCGCGCCCGCAGGGGATCTTCTGTTGGTGTGGGCGGGATGGCGTGCGCCCCGGTCCTGGCGGCGGCGCGTCAGCCGGCAGCAGCCGCCGCGCGGTCCAGGCGGGCGGCCGCCGCCGGTCGGCGTCATCAGTGACCTGACCGACCGACCCTCCGAAGCGGATCCCTGGTCGTGGTAATCAGTGCCACGTCGTCACAGTGATTTGCACTGAGGATGCCGTGAAACCTCAGCAGCTGCGCCGGAAGTACGACCGGCGTGGTCCGAACAGATCGATGCGATAGGGCTGTATTGTCAGCGGAGCGCGCGAGCAACAGGCACATGAGCGGCACATTCCACTGCCGGGATGACGGAATGCAGGGCTGTATTGTCGGCGGAGCGCGCGAGCGACAGGTACATGAGCGGCACAAGCCACTGGCGGGATGACGGAACACAGAGGCGGTGCACTAGGGTGGTTGGGCACGCACTGCGCTGCGCGGCATTGATCTCGTGTCGTTAAAACCGGCAACGCCTGGTGGCCCTCGACGATTGCGCGCCGTCTTCTACGTTGTCTCCATGCTCAATTTTTTTGCTCAAATTGCTCAAAATGCTAACCAGAAAATCCGTGAAGCAAAGCAATCAGCCTCCGTGCCAGAAACTAGGACTGGTGTAATATTTAGCTATTCCAACTGGAGCAAGGGTGTGCTCATCTTATTCATTGCGGCATGCCTACTGGCGATGGTGAATATCGTAGGATCACAGCATTGTAATCACTGGGGCGCCGAAGGGACCTTGACACCATCGCACTACGGAGAGCCCCATTGCACGGTGACAGGTACTGGCGTGATGAATACTGCATTACGGCCCGACTCAGCCACGGCATCCGCCGAACGGGTGGTCGGCCGCTGCGGGCCGAACTCGTGCCCTCTTTCCGCCCGCGACAGCCGGCCGTCTTGCACCAGCCACTGCCGTGCTTTCCAACACCTTACAGCCAGCCCGCACCAGTCAGTGCCGTGTTTTTCGACACGTGACGAGCGTGGGTTCCAGCGGCTCGCCCGCTCCCACGTCCCACTGATAAGCATCGATCAGAGTGGGGCCGCGCCGACCCTTGCTGCTCGCTCGGGCGTGATGCGTGACACCGCAGGCGTTGGCTGGCAATGGCGCCAGCGTGCGCGGGAGGGGAGGGTCGGACGGCGGACGGCGAGGTTCGGTGGTCGCGTCGTGACGCTCACGCGGTGAAGGATTATGAAACAACGTGGGTGAAATGGGACCATCCGCGGCATCACCGAGCATCAGCTTGCCAGCTTACGATTTTCGTCGCCCGCAACCGCAGTGTGAATGCTTCGCTACGCGCCGGCGCGGAACACCCGTCCATTCTGAGAGGTCGAGCGCCGTACCTGGGTCCACAGCACACAGGCTCGGTCGCCCATGCCTGACCGCCTGGCCGCCTCTCACCCCAGCTGCTGCCCACGCCTGACCGTGCAGCCTGGCCGGCGGCGTCTACGTCCCCGGCAAGTTTCCGCTATCCTGAGCCTGGCCGAGTCGTTCCCATGCCCTATTCATGCGCCGGCAGCGTTCACCTGGCCATTCATCTCGGGCTGGCGGCGCGCGGCGGCGCCATTCGGTCCGGAGCCGGGCGACGAGCCGGCCAGCCTGCTACTTCGGGCCGCGGCGCGGCTGCAGGTCACGCCCCGGCGGCTGGGCTCAGGCGGGCAGACCTTGTGTCCCATGTCCGGCTCGCCTCACTCCCAGCCAAGGAGCGTGGCTCACCTCACTCCCAGACAAGGAGCGTGGCTTGCTTCACACGCGGACAATGAGCGTGGCTCGCCTCACTCCCGGCCAAGAAGCGTGGCTCGCCTCACTCCCGGCCAAGGGGCGTGGCTCACCTTACTCCCGGACAAGGAACGTGACTCACCTCACTCCCAGACAAGGAGCGTGGCTCGCCTCACACGCGGACAATGAGCGTGGCTCGCCCCACTCGCGGACAAGGAACGTGGCTCACCTCACTCCCGGCCAGGGAGCGTGGCTCACCTCACTACCGGCCAGGGAGCGTGGCTCACCTCACTACCGGCCAGGGAGCGTGGCTCACCTCACTCCCGGGGAAGGAGCGTGGCTCGCCTCACTCCCAGACAAGGAGTTTGGCTCACCTCACTCCCGGCCAGGGAGCGTGGCTCACCTCACTCCTGGCCACGGAGCGTGGCTCACCTCCTCCCGGCCAAGGAGCGTGGCTCACCTCACCCCCGGCCAGGGAGCGTGGCTCACTTCACTACCGGCCAGGGAGCGCGGCTCACCTCACTCCCAGACAATTAGCGTGGCTCGCCTCACACGCGGACAAGAAGCGTGGCTCGCCTCACTCCCGGACAAGGAACGTGGCTCACCTCATTCCCGGCCAAGGAGCGTGGTTCACCTCACTCCCAGACAAGGAGCGTGGCCCGCCTCACTCCCGGCCAAGGAGCGTGGCTCGCCTCGCTCCCCGTCAAGGAGCGTGGCTCGCCTCACTCCCAGACAAGGAGCGTGGCTCGCCTCACACGCGGACAAGGAGCGTGGTTCGCCTCACTCCCGGACAGGGAGCGTGGCTCACCTCACTCCCGGACGAGGAGCGTGGCTCACCTCACTCCCGGCCAGGGAGCGTGGCTCACCTCACTCCCGGACAAGGAGCGTGGCTCACCTCACCTCTGGCCAAGGATCGTGGCTCACCTTACTCTCGGACAAGGAACATGGCTCACCTCACTCCCGGCCAGAGAGCGTGGCTCGCCTCATCCCCGAATAAGGAGCGCGGCTCGTCTCACTCCCGGCCAAGGAGCGCGGCACGGCTGCCAAACGGCGGTTGCTGGGTTGTAACACGATTTACTGAGATCTAGGGACGCTAAGGGATAGGCTGCGGCTAGCGTAAGGCAAGTGTGGGTTTCCCAGGCTTGTTGCCCGGGGAGATCCAGAAACACGCCGGTTGTGCGTGTGCGTTCCTGAAGCTCTCGCCCCCATGTCCGGGCTGAAGAGCGCTGTCGAAGTCGGCGCGGGGTGGCTTCACCGTCTGCGTCGTTCCGAGGCGAGCCGACACCGCGCGGAAGTCCGTCGTCTGACCCCGAGTCAAGTCAGGTTTCAGCGTCTGAGCAGGCACGGGATCTGCGCCACCGTCTGATACCGGGTCAGGCCTCAGGAGGCGGACAGGGACGGCGTCCATGCGGCCGGCCGAGTCCCTGCCATCAGTAGCTGAGCAGGGACGAGCCGGGCGTGTAGCGCATGAAGCGGGCCAGCAGGATCCAGGAGAGGCTGGCCGTCAGGCACACGGTGACGCCGGTCCAGCCCACCTGCAGCGACCACCCTGGCGGAGACACAGCACCGCTGAGGGCCAACACCCTGGCGGAGACACAGCACCGCTGAGGGCCAACACCCTGGCGGAGACACAGCACCGCTGAGGGCCAACACCCTGGCGGAGACACAGCACCGCTGAGGGCCAACACCCTGGCGGAGACACAGCACCGCTGAGGGCCAACACGCCGACCACCCTGGCGGAGACACAGCACCACTGAGGGCCAACACCCGACCTGGCGGAGACACAGCACCGCTGAGGGCCAACACCCTGGCGGAGACACAGCACCGCTGAGGGCCAGCACCCTGGCGGAGACACAGCACCGCTGAGGGCCAACACCCGACCACCCTGGCGGAGACACAGCACCACTGAGGGCCAACACGCCGACCACCCTGGCGGAGACACAGCACCGCTGAGGGCCAACACGCCGACCACCCTGGCGGAGACACAGCACCACTGAGGGCCAGCAGCCTGGCGGAGACACAGCACCGCTGAGGGCCAACACCCTGGCGGAGACACAGCACCGCTGAGGGCCAGCACGCCTGGCGGAGACACAGCACCGCTGAGGGCCAACACGCCTGGCGGAGACACAGCACCGCTGAGGGCCAACACCCTGGCGGAGACACAGCACCGCTGAGGGCACACGCCTGGCACAGCCAACTGCGCCGAGAACTCGTCAGGTCGCCGAGACACCACGGTGACGGCGGCGTCAGCTGGCGTAGGCGTTTAAAAATAGGGATGGCGGACAGTGTTCTGACTCGAGGTGGGTCGAGTTGTGACAAGTTCAATGGCGAGGCACCGCAGCCATTGGATTGAAAACATGGTTTGTCCCAAACTTTTTTTTAATTCACACATTCTCATTACCTATAGATTGCAGCATAATATTAATTGCGTGTGAAGAACCCTTGAAGTGAACTGACAACAAAATGGTTACATTCAGTATCCACACGCTTGCGTCTTTGCGACCTTGGTGAGAAACTCATAACTAAACCAGCGGTGTTACACAGTGGAGCACACTTGACATGCAGACAAGACAATCAGCGATTGATTGGAGAGGGGGAGAGAGGGAGAGAGAGAGAGAGAGAGAGAGAGAGAGAGAGAGAGAGAGAGAGAGAGAGAGAGAGAGAGAGAGAGAGAGAGAGAGAGAGAGAGAGAGAGAGAGAGACAAAGAGAGAGGGAGAGAGATAGAGAGACAGAGAGAGAGACAGAGACAGAGCGAGAGAAAGAGAGACAGAGGGAGAAGGAGAGACAGAGAGAGAGAGAGGGACTGTGATGAGCGACATGAATGGCAGCCTCGCCGGCACCAGCTGCCAGGAGAGCCGTATCGTGTCTGATCGCGGTACATCGCCTGCGCGCCGGGCCGCTGGCCGCGGCTCACCTGGCTGGAAGGTTCGGCTGTTGTAAAACTCGGGCGTGATCTGCGAGTCGAGCACGCCACAGTCGCGCTTTGTCTTGCGCTTGAAGTGAATGATGGAAAAGCTGAAGATGGAGAAAATTGCTGGAATGAAGGATGATTGCGTTAGCAGGGTACATGCAGTCTTCCCTTTGTCCCATGAGAAAAAGATGGGGCCGCCGCATCCGGCACAGGTCGCGCGGCGTTGAGCAGGGATTTTGAGGCATTGCCCACTTGTCTTCATCGTCTGTGAACCACAAGCAGCATTGTCCACCCTTAGTGAAAGACCCATTACAACAGCGGCCCTGTTCAATATCAGCTGGAATGCGTGACGTCATACGTGCTGACGGACCGTTTGATGTGAGGCCGACGGAAAGTTTCAACTTTACCTTCCTTTTCCCTTTTACCTTCTCACTACTCCAGGCCTGACACTAACCCTAGCGTACCGCCGACCATGGCGCACTCCCTATAATATGGTGCATGGAAGTGTGGCACCTGCTCCGGTATTACGACATATGCCACTCGTAAGCTGAGTGCTCCTCCCCATTCCCACCTCATTTAAATTTCTACCTTTCTCATTTGAAGTGCTCACTCATTTGTTGTAGAAAAGGTCTAACGATCCATCACCGCTACCTATACTGGCATGAAGCCCATGCTTTTAGTGAACTCCCACTTGCACTGAAAACCATGTTAGAGACGCGAGGCGCTTCGTTCCTGTTCTGCACCTTTTACGATCACTCCAACGCTGTCAGCTTACTGTGGCGCACTGCACTGATCGATTACGACCACGCACTACACTGATCACTGCCGTCCACCTTTTCGAGGTTGCTGTGAGCGGTCCAATTCCTTTCTTATCTATCCTATGTTGCGTTCCCCCAAAATTAGAGACAAAAGCCCATTCCTCACCTAACGCACTCGCGAACGCATGAGCAAATACATCAAACTCGCGCTTCGCTGTCAGAGTCATTCATTCAACGCGCGTTCAGGTGGCTGGTTCGATACCCCTCGCTCGGATGGCGGGTCAATTTGACCCCTTGAAATCTCGGAAACCAAAATAGCTAGAGACGCCAAATTCAGAGGGTGTGACGGCCTGTTCGTGAACTCACTCATGGAAAAATTTGGTGTTTCTAGGTCATGACATTAGGGTCAAATAAGGTTAAACAAGGTCAAATTGCAGATTGGTGTTCAAAGTGGCCCGGAACCAGATACCTGTTCTAAGAAAAACATCCTTGGCGCTCATTTAAGGTTAGTTACCTAATTTGACCTTTCGGAGGTCATGTTGACCAAAATAATACAAGATCGCTTTGAGTTTTGCATTTGAATAAGCGTCAAGAGACTGCGCTTGGTAGTACGTTGCTAAAAACAGAACGCTGACCTGGATCCTTTTAGGTCAGTGACCTATCTTCGTCGTTCAAAGTCTATGAAGGATGTATAATGCGTTTCTGTGATCAATAAATCTGAAGTGAGTACAAGAGACTTCTCCATACAATAAGCTCTAGAGTAATAAAGCTAGCTGTTTTTGACCTAGGTCTGATCTTCATATCTCACCCCAGGTCAATGTTGTTTGCTCATTCAATTGTTGTGTTGCCTAAGAAACTATCTTAGAGATGTATGGCTTTGCCTGACACACCGCTGTTGCATCAGATTGAATGGCTCATTAGAAATCGTCCTTGCTGAATCCATGGCCTGAATTTGACCTGCCGTGGGCCAGTGACCTTACAAGAAACATCGAAGTGTTTGGTACCAAACGATCCACTATTCCACTGTCTACAGCTATGCCAAATCTGCGCTGCTACGCCGCGCCCTTCAGAAACCATTTCTGGAAACATCCCGAGGGGAGGGGGGGTAAAGTGACGTCCACCCGAGCGCGTGTTGATCTGGTTGCGCTCTCTCTCTCTCTCTCTCTCTCTCTCTCTCTCTCTCTCTCTCTCTCTCTCTCTCTCTCTCTCTCTCTCTCTCTCTCTCTCTCTCTCTCTCTCTCTCTCTCTCTCTCTCTCTCTCTCTCTCTCTCTCTCTCTCTCTCTCTCTTCCATTCTCTCTCTCTCTTCATGCTGACGTGATGACAAAAAAATCCTAACAGCAGTGTCAGCTGGCGCGTGACGTCACAAACCACATGACTTCGTGGTCATGTGGCGTGACGTGGAGAGAACTTTGGGTCCGTAATTGGTGCTCACAAACGTGCTGACGGCAGATCGGACGCTGTCAGGAATAGCCGTCAGCTGTGTTTTGTCTTTTCGTACGACTACAGGTCGGCAAGCGTGTCTTCACTTAACCACGAAACAGGAACCAAAAACAATAAAAATGGTCTTATGCCCAAAATATTTGTGAAGCCCCTACTAGACGCACGGTAAAGCACGAGTATGGAGACCACACAGATCGATGCCTTAATGCTTGGGTTAATGTAAACCTCTGTAACTGTGAAAGAAGTGACAGATTTACTTCTGTTCAGCACAGCGTTTTATCAGCAGCTGGGTGAGCACACAAGTGGCATGCAACGCGGCAAGCACCTAGCAACCGAACGCTGGGGCTGAACCGACCGCTGCATAGTCGCGTTCCACACTCGGCTATTCCTCCTATTAGCAGCGACGCGAGCATCTGCTTCTGACGAGAATTAGGCGTGAAGAACGGACCCTTACAGGTAGGCCGTGCAAAGGACTCCCGAAAACAAACAAAGTCCAATCAGCCCGAGCGAAGAGCTCCGGCCGAAAACAGGCTCAACAATGCAATATTAACGAGAGACTGTCACGGCGCGGAGAGCTGGCCGTACGCTAGCGCCGCCTAACCTCGTAAAGCAGTCACTTGGTCGAAACTAGGCCCCAATACTCCGGCGCCTCGCCATCAATCTTCAAAATGAAAACTTAAACACTGAAAACGGCCGATCATTTTTCACCGTTCTTCTCTTCCATCGCGCAGCGTTTTCGGACCGGCCTTTTTCGGCGGCCTTTTGCCGGGAGCGCTATCAGGCGGCTCGCGACCATTGACCCGCTCCCACCATCCATTCACGGCTAATGACTCAGATAAAGACTTCAGCAGCGGCAGCGCCTGCACCGACGCCGCCACATCGATTCCTGCCGCTCCAACCGGTGGCAGCACGGGCCTGCTAGCGTTTTCCATGTGGCGCGTGTCACGCGGTGCCAGCCGCGCCGCCGCCGCCGCCGCCGCCGCGAGGTCGGCCGGCAGCCGGGCCCGCGGCCGTCCCGTCCCGGCTGCGGCAGGCTCGACGACCGTCCCCCGTGCCGACGTATTGAATTTCAGAGGCGTTCGCGATAATTTGAGGCCAACAAGCGACTGGACGGGTTACTGGGTACTATGTTTGGCCCCTCGGCGGCGGCCTCTGCTGCGAATGATTGGCAAGTGATCGGTCTCCGTACTGGTGTAAATAGATAACTGAGGTGGGGAACATTACATTTTTATGAACTTATTGAGGTGATGATGGTTGTTTTTTAGTGTCATTGATCCAATATTGATGGCTGGCAGTGCGGTGGAATGTGTCTGCAATGATGACTCATTGCACGACCGACGATGTGTAACCGGGTATTATCAGCCGCATTCCGAAAGTGAGCCAACACAACACAGATATACAACACACACACACACAACACACAACCACACACACACACCACACACACACACACACCCACCCACACACACACACACAACACCACACACACACACACACACACACACACACACACACCACACCAACACACACACCACACACACACACACACACACACACACACCACACACACACACACACACACACACACACACACACACACACACACACACCACACACACACACACACACACACACACACACACACACACACACACACACACACACACACACACACACACACACACACACACACACACACACACACACACACACACACACCACACACACACACACACACACACACACACACACACACACACACACACACACACACACACACACACACACACACACACACACACACACACACACACACACACACACACACACACACACACACACCACACACACACACACACACACACACACACACACACACACACACACACACACACACACACACACCACACACACACACACACACACACACACACACACACACACACACACACACACACACACACACACACACACACACACACACACACACACACACACAAACGGCTAGTCGATGACGGCATGTTGGTTTCGTGGCATACTTAACAACCACTTTGATATTTACACGGTGTCTCAAACGTAGCCGATGGAGAGTAATTGGGTCATGTTGATTAATCTCTTGCATTGCCAACAACCCTTTATACAACATTAGAGTAAAATATTTACCGACAAGAACACGCGAGTTTGAGCCGTGGACATGAATCCAACTGTTTGGCTTCGTCGTTTGCCAACATGACTGTGTGTTAATTGGGCTGCAGTTCCCAAAAGCAGCACCATGTTCACGGAACGCGCTGGTTATCAACGTTCGACATCAATGACACGTTGACTGTACCGCAAGACCGACCGGAAGCCGTTGGTGACACTGACGGCAGGCAAACCGACATGTGCGCGCATCATCGTGCGTCAAAAACACTGTCAAACACCAATCACGTTTGACCGGTATATCGCTCAACTCTCCTCGCACCTCGATATGTTCTAACAACGTGGATGGGCAATATTCCAAAGCCCTGTGGGAAAAATTGATTTGAGGTAATTTGAAGGCTTGCAGGTTGAGGTATACGCGATGCTTAATGCATTAGATAGCGCCTTGTTAGAGGTGAGGAACACTCAAATGAATGTAGGTGCCTAAAGGAATTCATCGGACCGAAAACCACCTCAATTGTGATGCATTGCAGGTGGTACTTTTTGTGATTGGACATCAGGGATTGAGAAAGCTGTCCTGACGTTGGGATATTGTCTAATGCTGATAAAGGCGTGCTTAGCGATGGTAATGACAACAAACGACCATCAATATCACAGAACACATAGATAGGCATAGGAGGATATACAAACCATGGCATTGAAAACGTAAATGTTTCGGCCGCAAGATATAAGATCATCAGGGTTGATGGGGACAAATTAAAGGGCATTAAATGAACCTTCAAAGGTACTGACATTTGAATATGGTATTGAACTGGGATAGCTATTAGCAAGATAATTCCCGGCCGTTAGCAGTTATGGTCTTTTAAGCACTTGAGATCCTGGCATTTCTGAGCTACCCGCACGCCATCGTATGCGGACCATTTCGCGCCGCCTATTTCGAAGTCACCCACAGATGAAGGACGCTTTGAGACGTTAAACGAATCTTGCAGATGTATGACGCTCTTGAGACATTACACGAATTTTGCCTGCTCAGTGGCTTTACCAAGCTCAAGTTGAAGAAAAACATGGCCATTGACTTAATCGACACGGGCAGAAATCGCCTTATCAGCGGACAGCAGGCGGCTTTCACTAAGCATTACGGCTTAAATGCAAGCCTCAATCACGGACCACATTATGTAAACTGCAGACATACATTCTACTTGTTAGTAGTGCATGGAACTGGGAATTGAATAACTAAAGAATAGTGCCGCAACAGAGCATGCAAATGCAACACGACTATGTTATCGCCGACAAACATACAAGAGCAGCATAAGAAAGCACCAAAACAGGCACACATAACGAAATTTGGCTATATCTCGCACGCATAACGTTAGAAGCCACCTTGCGGCGAGCTGAAGCACTATAAATGAGTCAGCCCATCCGCTACAGTGGCTGACGCACCCAGGCTGGCGCGTCCGGATTGTCAGGGCTCTGACGTCGTGAAAACGTTCCATGACGTAATGAAACGATGACGTATTGGGAGCACATGCACTAAAAAGGGAAATCGTGCTACCTGAAGCAGTATTCAGCACTCAAAGACACCATTATTGACAGCTGCAACAGAGCTGTTCTTTATCACATCTGATCATTGCCCATAATGCCTTCTTCCGTTTAACGTAATTTTTATCAATGAAGGAGGGTAAACTTTCCAACGCGGATGCCTTTTGAGCTACTAGCTTGCAGACTTTAAGTTGGGAATTCATCGGGTTATTTCCCCCAAACACAACTTCCAGGGCGGCGGCTGCGTGTAATCGTTGATGCACATATAACAAACAAACCAGCACCAGACACTGAAAAAAACGATTTGAGAAGGGCAACCACCTGCTTCATTTTAAGCTGTGGCTATCATCTTGTTTTATCTAAATATCCCTGGCTAATTCCCAAATTTTGAGTACTTCTACATTTTCCACATCGAAGAGGTTTCTTATTAAATGGTAAGCTTCAAATGAGTCGCAAGCGTCGATAAGGGCAGCAATTTTAATAGCTATAATACATATACTTTTCACCAACTTTACCCGCTATGTGCAACGTCAAAGAGAGACGTGCTGTTTCTCGAAGCAGTCGAGGTAGTCCTGAGGCGCGGCCGCCGGCCGGTAAGCGGTCTGGGGCTGAGCTGGGTGGGGCCGGTTAGCGGTCTGGGGCTGAGCTGGGTGGGGCCGGTAAGCGGTCTGGAGCTGAGCTGGGTGGGGCCGGTTAGCGGTCTGGGGCTGAGCTGGGTGGGGCCGGTTAGCGGTCTGGGGCTGAGCTGGGTGGGGCCGGTTAGCGGTCTGGGGCTGAGCTGGGTGGGGCCGGTTAGCGGTCTGGGGCTGAGCTGGGTGGGGCCAGTTAGCGGTCTGGGGCTGAGCTGGGTGGGGCCGGTTAGCGGTCTGGGGCTGAGCTGGGTGGGGCCGGTTAGCGGTCTGGGGCTGAGCTGGGTGGGAGCAGGCGCGCCGCCGGCATACTCAAGCTGCTGCACACTTAAGCTGAAAACCTGTCCCCTTCTCATGCTGACGACTCAAGGCTTCATCATCTTCAGGCTTTTCGCATGAGGGGACAAGGTATACTACTTTGGATGCCAAAAGCTCATCGTTTTATAGGGTCTGTTTTTAATGAGGCATTCAACTAACAAGGGCTAGCACATTTTGACAGGGCTTCTAAGAGGGTGATAGTTCTTATTTTCGGTCTTTTTTCCTATTGTCACAGGCGCCCAGGTGTCAAAAAAGGAAAAAATAGGCGTGGCTTTTCAGCTAACTCGTGTTTTCGGTGGAAAGAACACTTGCGCGCCAATAGACTGTATACGGTGCGAACAGCACTGTATTCAGTCCAGATGCGGATCTAGGATATCGTTCAGGGGTAGCTACGCAACATTGCGGGCCTCTCTTCAGTTTGCGACTCCCTCCAAAATGTTCTTGGTTTTCTGCCATGCAAATTTAGATATTCTTAAGTTATTATTTTTACATAGAAAACCACCTTGTTGTACACTGCTCTAAAATGCTAAGCGTATGACGTATCTTCGTACATGGAACGAGTTAATTTCTTCCAGACTATGGCAAATCCTGCCATTTTGAGGCTAAGTCTTTTGGAGAACATACAGCAAGATGAGTTAAAGCTGGCTGCTAACTACCATTAAAATCAAGCACAACACTTGGTCCCAAACTCGGTTGCGGCCGATCGATCTCAGGCGGCAAGCCAGCGAGTCTATGTTGTGATCAGCTGTTGGCAAATGGCCAGCGCAGAGTTTTTTTTGTTTATTTTTTTCGTTGTTTTTTTTTTGCTAGCATTGCTATGCATGTGCTAGCATTCAAAACATGCCGATAGTAAGTCTGCCCACCTTCGCGGGCGTATCGCCCAGGAACTAGAGGGGTTTAGGTCTTAAGAAGGCCAGGACTGTAACCTGCACCACATTTTCTTCAGGCGGCTTTTTCAGTCCAAACACATAAAAATGTAGATCACATCTTTTAAGAAGGGCAGAGGTGCGAACTGCGCCGACTTATCTTCAAAATAGCCATTTCAGCTCAAAAACCCACACAAATGTAGAGCACTTTCTTTAAGTAAGGGAATAGTGTTTTAAGAACTTACGTGTAATGCCTGCATAATTTCACAGATTCTGGAACAATACCTCCAAATGTTTCATGGTGTTCTAGGCAATATAAATTGTGAACGGTCTCTGCTGGAACTGGGTCGGCCCCGAGCAGGCCAGGATGTACCCCCAGCGGGACCCGGTCCAGGGGGCGCGACACTGGCCGACCGATGCAGTACTAAGTACAGAGGTGTTTGGTAGTTCGGGCGAGGCTGGTTCGGGAGGCCGTTCCGGCGCCAGCCTGACGTTAATAACGGCACTCATAATTTCAGATGATAATAGCTGAACAGCATGGAGGCCTCGTAGCGTGCCAAACACCAGAGTCGCTGTACCATTGACTGCACTTCTCAATGAAACGAAGTAGCCATTACCAAGTTTACGGGCTCGCACACGAGCGCATGCTACCCCGGACCTTCGCTTGGAACATTGCTGCGGCTTGCTGTCAACCCCAGCCGTGACACGCCATCCGCTTACAGGCTGCCTCGACGCGCTGTAAGCGCTGCCAGCCAGCCCACCTGCCATGAGGTACATGAAGCCGGTGATGAGCACGGCTGAGTTCTGCTTCTGCAGCACGCCGAACATGCCGACCAGCGCCGACGCCACCAGCAGGATCAGGCTGACCAAGGCGCACGATATGCTCAGGTTCTGCATGCCTGCCAACGGAAGCACGGCGTCAAGACGGTGGACACACCACCCGCGACTTGATCTCCGGCTCTATACAGCCCCACCCGCGGTACGGTCAGCTTCATACCCGGTGCACTTCGTCGCCAGCTTCGGTACTGTCGATCCCCACCGTCGGTGCGGCTCACCCACCCCCGGAGCGCGCGCCAGCTTCGGTACTGCCGATCCCCACCGTCGGCGCGGCTCGCCCACCCCCGGAGTGCGCGCCAGCTTCGGTACTGTCGATCCCCACCGTCGGCGCGGCTCGCCCACCCCCGGAGCACGGACCACCCAGCCGCAGGTCGCGTGACGACAGATGGCGTGAGTGGCCGCCAGTGTGCTGCCGTGTGTTCAACACGGCACTCTTGCAGTGTCTTTGGTTACATAAAACACGTGATTTGTTAAACCCTTGTTCGTTTCAGCCTTGCGTTGCGGGTCGCGTTTCCCCATGGGATTAGAATCGCATCACTTGATCAAATTCTAGAAACCATTAGAGTTGCCTGCTTTGTGAGGTCAATTCTCATATCGAAACTCTTTGGCGCATGACAAATAATACATAATGCATATTTTAAAATGCAGAATGTTGCCTTTAAGGAGGTAAGTCGCATTTAAAGAGGTAAGTCGCCCTTAAGGAGGTAAGTTGCGTTTAAGGAGGCAAAGTCGCATTGTGGAGGACACCGTTATATCTATTGCATGAGAGCAGTGGGGCTATATGCGACACCGGCATGGGTGACCGTTCTCAGGCTATTGCACTGAATTGTTAACCACCTTTTCGGATTAGGTGGCACGGAGTGGATGTGTGTCAGCATTTTACATGTCATTGATTGCAAACTGGGTCAGAGGCCAACTGAACCTTGATTCTCAGCTCAAATATCCGACATTATGCAGTTGCAGCAACCCGATCTGAGACAACACGTCACTGCCGAGCGATAAATAATCGAAGACTCTCGATCTGAGGCAACACGTCACTGCCGAGCGATAAATAATCGAAGACTCCCGATCTGAGGCAACACGTCACTGCCGAGCGATAAATAATCGAAGACTCTCGATCTGAGGCAACACGTCACTGCCGAGCGATAAATAATCGAAGACTCCCGATCTGAGGCAACGCGTCACTGCCGAGCGATAAATAATCGAAGACTCTCGATCTGAGGCAACACGTCACTGCCGAGCAATAAATAATCGAAGACTCCCGATCTGAGGCGACATGTCACTGCCGAGCGATAAATAATCGAAGGCTGACGCTGGAACCATTCCGACGCTCCAAAGCTGGCCTAAGGCAGAAGTTCATGTTTTTTTCATGCACAATTACGTAGGCTTTGTGTACTGCATTTTCCGGGATTTTGACGGAAAATACATATCCGTGCCCCGTGTTTGCGCTCGTTTAGGTTACAGAGCCTTTCGCGGGCGTTGCAAGTAACAGATATGAAGTATTCATCCAAATTACTGCTCTTCCAACGGTTAACAATAACGTCGCTATAGGGGCACATTTCCATTTCTCCTATGGATTCGGGGTGGTCGAGGCGTGCTTATATGCTTGTGTTCTGAAAACCCAGCTCATACACCCTGACAGGCTGCCTAATAATTTCACAGGCATATCTTGGTGAGGTTTTTAATTCACGAAGTGTGCAAGCAAACTTTATTTGGATGCCCGCTGGCAGCACGGACTGACAATTACCCTTTAAAACGCCTTTGCAGCTGGTCGCCACTTTTCCGTATACGAAAACGACCCAAACGACTGCCGCTCTTCCTGAAGAGCCGTGTGCAATTCAGCGATGGCACCAGCCTCCATGCATAATTGATTGAGCGCGCCACGGCGGGTCGGGGCGGCCCCAGTTCGTGTCCGTCGGCCGTCCGGGTCCGTGATTTAGGGCAGCTCGACACTGGCGCAGAGCCCGCCGGGGGCACCGGTGGCCGCCGGTGACTGTCAGCGGGTCAAGACAGGCGTCTCAGCCTGGCTGGCTGGCGGTCCCCGGGGCGTGGTCCGGCTCTGAGTGTGGACCCCGCTGGAGCGGTCTGGCGACCGAGCGCACGGTCCCAGTCTGTTGAGCTGTGAAGTCACGTGGCCGTCAGGCGGTCACTGACACGCAGTCTGACTGCGGGCTTGAAGCCACGGACAGGCTGACGTGCCTTGGTGTTTAGAAGCTCAGGCGGTCACTGACACGCAGTCTGACTGCGGGCTCGAAGCCACAGACAGGCTGACGTGCCTTGGTGTTTAGTAGCTCAGGCGGTCACTGACACGCAGTCTGACTGCGGGCTTGAAGCCACGGACAGGCCGACGTGCCTTGGTGTTTAGTAGCCCTTCTTCATGCTGGCGTTTATTCGATGGTGCCTAATCTGGTACCACCACATTCCACAGACACCTCAGTTTGAAATGCTAGGAGAAACATGGGGGGGGGGGGGGCGACAGTGATTGTTTTTCGTCAAGGCTATGGCAGTAGCCAGAACACTTTACTGCGGAGGCGTTTTTGTCTTTTTTCATCTCATAGAATCCATGGTTACCTTATAGATCAATGGAACAAGTCATAAGGTACCGCAAAGGCAAAGTGTTTAGTTCAATTCAGTCCACTGTATTCACGGATCATTCCAACAAGTGGCCTATTGTTTGAGTCGGTGCAAGTACAGTAAAAGTACGAATGCAACACTTCAATATGTCGACAACGCGACCACCTTCGCACTTTATCAACCATCCAGTCGTTCACATAACTTTTCCAAAAACAAAGCTGTTCATCAAAATTAAATCGTCAGCACATGTTACACAACGGCACACAAGCCGCGATCACACGACGAGACCGTCTGAGTCGTCTGGTCAGGCGCGGAATTCACCTCGGCTGCGAGAGGCCGTGATGGTCCGAGGCAAGATGAAAATGGCAAATAATTGCAACGTCATGAAATAAAAAACTTCTCCGGAGTGAAAATGCTCTGAAAATGCTCTCCGGGGTGAAAATGAAAATCTGACCGTCAAATGGCTTTCCATAAACGTTGGGCACTTTGTGCAATTTACAATCATGAATCGCGTTTTGTGCTACATAATATAAAAAGCTGGGCATTCCTCCTAGTCATGAGGTAAACACAACTTGCAATCGAGCAGCTTAAGAATAGTGCCAGAACATAGTTTGAAAATACGATAAAACCATTTTAAGTCATGGATAAAGACGTAAGAAGATCACGAGAAAGAGCCAGATCACGAGCACAACGAAATTTGGCTAAGCGAACACTTCCAGCGACGTGCTGACATCTGTCGGCGGGTTTGAAGCACTACGAGTGAATGCAAAGCTGACATTTTCGCACTAGTTTCGCAGCACCCAAACGCCATAGAAATCTTCTATGACGCAATCAAACAATGACGTAGTGAGAAGCATATCTACCAATTAGAGCAATTGTGTTGTCTACAGCAGTCGTTTCCGCTAAGAGCATACCAGTAGTTATAAGTGAGCATATTAACTATCATGATGCTTGCTTCAATATCGTCATATGTGGAGCATTTGCTCTAACGAGTGATACACCCAAAACTCCTCCGACTGGCACCTGTCGTCACAATATAATCCATTAGTCAGAACTCGTATCCTTGCTGGTTTTGGCGTGCTCTGGCGCATTGAATCGGTTTGGTGGGGAAATATGCTACGATTTACTAAGTGGGCATGGGATTGCGACAGGCATCCACGACAGGAGATGTGGCTCCAGACACGTGTTAGGGCCCGCTGGTTGAGATAACGTCGATCAGGCATCCACGACAGAAGATGTGGCTCCAGACACGAGTTAGGGCCCGCTGGTTGAGACAACGTCGATCAGGCATCCACGACAGAAGATGCGGCTCCAGACACGTGTTAGGGCCCGCTGGTTGAGACAACGTCGATCAGACATCCACGACAGAAGATGTGGCTCCAGACACGTGTTGGGGCCCGCTGGTTGAGACAACGTCGTTGGAACAGCAGCTTCAGCCGAGCGGAGCCTGTTTTTCAGATCCCGACCACGGGTTGCGACCGAGTGCCTCTCCCGAATGTCCGACTTACTTCAGTCACATTGTCACCGGTTCTATTAAAGCTGGGCCGCGATACAGCCACCCCTAGTGAAAAATGCCCATCCCCTTCCCCGGGAAGACAAAAGACAGCTTCCACCGCCACGAGTGCGCGTGTGGCGCGACGCTCCGAACCCACATCGGCTGCGCACTGATGGCTGGACCGGCCCGCGGAGTCAACTATTGACAACGGCAAAATGGGCACCGAAGGGAGCGTATGATTGTCACAAACGGTTTCAGAGGATGAAGCCATTAAATGCTGAAATTTTTGTGATCGTTGAAAAGGTACAGGATGCTGCAGCACCGTTGGAAAGGGGGAGGATGAGTCATGGTAGAGCCCTAGAAACGCGTTCGTTGTTTTCACAATGCACCGACTCGTTTTGAGGCAGATAATGAATGCTGGGACCGTTGTTGTTGTAGCGTTGCAAAAGGATGCGCTGCTTGCAGTTTGTGCAACTTTTTGTATCTTTGTAATGTTTCCCAAGTCGCTTTTAAGGGGGTCATTCATCCTGTTCAAAACAACAGAGGCTATTCTAAGACGCTTATTCCCCTCGTTTGGCCCTAAATCACTTTTGCGACATTCTGCAACCTTTTGCAAGAATTCCCAAAATATACTTTGAAAGCTATTGTACCTTGCAAAAACACTGAACGTGGCTCTAAGGCGCCAACTTGCTTTGCTTCGACGTAAACCGCTTTGGCAACGTTCTGCACTGTTTTGAACAATTGTCAAGGTCTACCTCAAAACGAGTTTGTGCATTGTGAAAACACAGAACGCGTTTCTAGGGCTCTACCTTGCTTCATTATCCCCCAAACGGCGCTACAGCATCCCGTAGTTTTTCAGCAATCACAACAATTTCAGCATTTAGTGGTTTCATCCTCTGAAGCCGTTTGTGACAGACACACGGTCCTTTTGGTGCTCATTTCGCCGTCATCAATAGTACCAGTGTTGTACAATAGTTTGCAACATTTTGAAAG